GCTGGGCCAGGCTGAAGCCAGGAGCCAGAAACCGAATTCAGTCTCCCATATGAGTGTCAGGAACCCAAATACTTAAGCTATCATCACTGCCTCCCAGAGTGCACACTAGCAAGAAACTAGAATTGAAAGCAGAGTTGGGACTCAAACTCAAAATTCACTAACATAGGATGTGGCCTTCCCAAATTTGATCTTTACTGCTGCTCCAAGCACCCATACCCTATTTTCGAAGTTTTTGGTTAATTATCACTATCTTTGCAATTCTTCACCTTGTTTAGGTTTTCAGTAAGTATCCAGTTTTTTCCCAACCAACAAGGTGAGTTGCAATGGATTAAATGTTTGTGTCCTCCTAAAGGTCATTTTGAAATCCTGGTCTCCACTGAAATGGTATTAGGAGATTGGACCTTTGGAAAGTCAATAGGTCAAGAGGATGAAGCCCTCATGAATGGGATTAGTGCCCTTAGAAAAGAGACCCTAATGAACTATCTTATCCTTTTTCCATGCAATGGTATGAGAAGTCAGCCATTTGCAACCTGGAAGAGGGCCCTTAGGAGAACCCAACCATGCAGACACCCTGATCTCATACTTATAGCCTCCAAACCCGTAAGAAATTTCTGTTGTTTGTAAGCCACCAATCTATAGAACCATATTTTAGTAGCCTAAGCTAAAACACAATGTATATCCTTCCTTTAGTCTTCTCTCTATTCTCTAGACCTTTAAAATAAAGTAATTCCTTCATGTTATATAGCATACCACTTGCTTTTATGCTCTATAAATATTTTATGTATAAGTGCCTTAACAGTGGGTTGGGGCCTCCTGCTGTTTACCACAGGCTGAGTTCTTACACTGACTGTATAGAGGACTGTAAAGAGGAAGAAGAGCTGGCCCTCCCCATGTACACCTCAGCTAAGGCCTCGTCGTGCCTGGGCTGTATTCTGAGTGGGGGAACAAGGAGTTGAAAAAGATGAAAGAAAAAAAAAGTGGGTTGGCTAGGGTGAATTTTAAAATTTCACACGTGCCTATTTTAGATTTTAATCAGTACATCATGACAGATCTTCAATAATTGTTTTACATTTACAAAATTATGGCATTCCTGATGGCATTGATCCAATTCATTGGTGAGCAATGAAAATGCTGAAGTAGAAGGATCTAACCTTAAGTGAAATAGTGTTAAGTCTGGGTGGGTCCTCAATGATCTAGTGCATTTATAAAGTGCACACAGGACATATAAAATTTTTATATGGGATATAGTTTTTATTTCCATGGTTGTAAATTATATACTGTAAAATTCAACTAGCATGTCATGAGCATTTTAGTTTAGAATGAAACTGCTATGGATTGAACAGGATTTGGCTCCCTAAACTCATGCAGACATTTAAACAATGAAGTTTTATGTTAATGATGAATGGATTAGTTGGTTGTTGATAGATACTTGATTTAACTATGCCGTCTAAAGATAGGGCCTGTGGGAAGTGATTGGACTGGGTTGCATTGATAGGGTGGAGCCTTGATCCAATCATGATAACATAGGGAGAGGCTGCAGAGGGTATGTGAAGAATATGTTGGGCTTCCTGGTTCACTATGTGATCACCCTTCTGTCATCCTCTGGCCTCATCAGATGCCAAATAGCTTCTAGATGGAAAATAATGGCCCCAGTGCCATGATGCAGCAGGTAAAGCTGCTGAGTGCAGTGCCTGCATCCCATATGGGTGCCAGTTCGAGTCCCAGCTGCTCCACTTCCAATCTGGCTCTCTGCTATGGCCTGGGAAAGCAATGGAAGATGGCCTAAGTCTTTGGGCTCCTGCATCTTGTGGGAAACCCAGAAGAAACTCCTGGTTCCTGGCTTCAGATAGTTGCAGCTCCGGCTATTGCGGCCATCTGGGGAAAGAACCAGTGGATGGAAGACCTCTCTCTCTCTCTCTCTCTCTCTCTGCCTCTGCCTCTCTGTGACTCTGAAACTCTGCCTTTCAAATATATAAATACATCTTTAAAAAAAAAAAAAAGTGGAGCAGCTGTGCTTGAACCAGTGCCCATATGGGAGACCAATGTTTCAGGAGGTAGCTTTATTGCTACCCAACAACGCTGACCCCCACCCACTTAATTTTCACAAGTTACAATATAGGTATTATTAGTATTTGTGTTTTTTTAATATTTATTTTACTTGAAAGTCACAGTTTCACATAGAGAGAAGGAGAGGCAGAGGGAGAAAAAGAGAGGTTCTTCCATCCACTGGTTCACTCCACAATTGGCTGCAACAGCCAGAGCTGCACCAATCCAAAGCCAGGAGCCAGGAGCTTCTTCTGGGTCTCCCACACGGGTGCAGGGGCCCAAGCACTTGGGCCATCTTCTACTGCTTTCCCAGGCCGTAGCAGAGAGCCGGATGGGAAATGGAGCAGCCAGGACTCGAACCGGCACCCATATGGGATGCCGGCACTGCAGGTGGTGGCCTTAACCACTACACCACAGTGCTGGTCCCCAGTATTCGATTTTATAGATGATCCTGAGGCAAAACAGATGGAGTGGCTTCATCTGGGAAAAACATGACACTTGGAAGCTCTGGAAAGAAATCCCTAGGACAGGGGGCTATTGAGGCACAGAAGGTCAAGCCACTGCCTGCAACTTTGGCATCTCATGAGTGCCAGTCAAGTTACAGCTGCTACACTTCTGATCCAAATCCAGCTCCTTGCCAATGTACCTAGGAAAGCAGTGGAAGATGGCCTGAGTCCTTGGGCCCCTGCCACTCAAATGGATGGAGCTCCAGGCTCCTGGCTTTGGCCTGGCCCAGCTCTGGTCATTGCAGCCATTTGGGGAGTGAAGCAGTGGATGGAAGATCTCTCTTTCTCTCCCTTCCTCTTTACAACTCTGCCTCTCAAATAAATAAATAAATAAAAGTAAAAATCTTTTAATATCTACTTTTTAAAGATTATTTATTTTAAAAAAAGAGGCAGAGGCAGACACAGCGAGAGAGCAAGAGTGTGTATATGTGTGAGAGAGTGGTCTTCCATCTGCTGGTTCACTCCCCAAATGGCCACAATTGCTGGTGGTGGGCTGATCCGAAGCCAGGAGCTTCTTTGGGGTCTCCTATTTGGGTACAGGGGCCCAAAGACTTGGACTATCTTCTGCAGTTTTCCCAGGCCATAGCAGAGAGCTGGATCGGAAGTGCAGTAGCCAGGACTCAGACTAGCGCCCATATGGGATGCTGGTACTGCAGGCGGCAGCTTTACTAGTCCCAAATCTCTTAATATTAAAAGAGAGGGAGGGGGAGAGAGAGAAAAGACATCCCAGAATATTTTCTTGAGCCTTGAATAGCAGCAGCACTTTGATAGGGTTGTGAGAAACAGTCTGGGGTTGTGATGCTGACCCCAGATTTGCAGTTTAAGGGTGTAAGGTGTCTGGCGCATAACAGATCTTCCCAGGCAGACGAATCAATTTTTTTTTTTATTTTTTTTTTTTATTTTTGACAGGCAGAGTGGACAGTGAGAGAGAGAGACAGAGAGAGAAAGGTCTTCCTTTGCCGTTGGTTCACCCTCCAATGGCCGCCGCTGCAGCCGGCGCACCGCGCTGATCCGATGGCAGGAACCAGGATCCAGGTGCTTTTCCTGGTCTCCCATGGGGTGCAGGGCCCAAGCACCTGGGCCATCCTCCACTGCACTCCCTGGCCATAGCAGAGAGCTGGCCTGGAAGAGGGGCAACTGGGACAGAATCCGGCGCCCCGACCGGGACTAGAACCCGGTGTGCCGGCGCCGCAAGGTGGAGGATTAGCCTATTGAGCCACGGCGCCGGCTCAGACGAATCAATTAATTCACAGGCTTTTATTAGGATTCCGCTCCCGGGCAGGGTTCCCCGGTCCCAACAGAGCAACAGAGCGGGGGCCGGGGAAGTCGTGCATCAGATATTGGGAGAGCTTCTTTTATAGATTCAGGGCATGGGAGTTAAAGGTTGAGGCGGGTCTGATCCTCATGGTTGACCTTTAGGTACCCGCAGGGACCCTGACAAGGACTTTTCTTCCCCGGAAGTACAGGTAGGGACTTCTCCATTCCTGGAAGTACAGGCCTTCCTCCTTGCGGATCCCAAAGCTACCAAAGGGCAGCTTAACTACAAAGTTTAAGGATAGTAGCCAGGGCCAGCACTGTGGCACAGCAGGTAAAGCAGTTGCCTGCAGTGCTGGCATCCCATATGGGAGCAGGTTCAAGTTCCAGCTGCTCCAATTTCAATCCAGCTCTCTGCTATGGCCTGGGAAAGCTGCAGAAGATGGCCCATGCCTTTGGCCTTCTGCACCCATGTGGGAGATATGGAAGGAGCTCCTGGCTCCTGGCTTCAGCTCGGCCCAGTCCCGGTTGTTGCTGCCATTTGTGGAGTTAACCAGCGGATGGAGGAGCTCTCTGTCTCTCCCTTTCTCTCTCTGTAGCTGTGCCTTTCAAATAAATAAATTTAAATAAAATAAAAAATAAAAACAGTAGCCAAGGACACACCAAGTTTCAGGTCTGACGTGTAAAGTAATTACACACATACAGGGTGAGAGGTACCCCAGAGAGGCAATCACACAAACACAGATGTCCCTTCTGTCTCACGACGTCCTAACCCTACCTCACTCCACCTCCTTCTCCCTAAGGCAGCCATGACAGTCAGCTACGCCTAAGATGGACAGAGCTTTAGGGAACTTCGAAGTGAGAAGGGAGGAGGAAAGGAAGTTGCAGGGTGGAACGAACCACTATCCTGCCAAGAGCGTCCCTGCCCATAACAAGTTTTGCCTCTGCCCTCAAGAGAAATGGCGCCGGCATAGACGCGTTTCCGTTCACGGAACCAAACAGAATAGGAGAGGACCAGGGACCGGAAGTGACCGCCCTTTTGCCACTCCTCCTGCCTCCAGTTAGCTTATATCCTCTTTGGGGAGGATGAGGCAACCTGAGAGCTTGGCTCGAGCTGTGGTTGCTGAGTGACAGTCGGAGTTGGGACCGTGTGAGTGTCAGCTGCTTCGACCGCTGGCGGGTTCGCGACTCTCGGGGTGACCTTCGAGCGGCCGGGGACAGGGGGCGGGGAGCCGTGAGCGGAGCGCTCTGTGACGAGACGCTGCCGCCGCCGTCCTGCTGGAAGGGAGCGAGCGAACCGGATGGCCAGCGGGGCCGGCGGCCGGCTCAGGCCCGCGGAGCCCACGATGCTGGAGCCCGGGGGTGGTGGTGAGGGCGGCGGGCCGGGCCGGGCCGGCGCGCGTGGGGCGGCGGCGGGGTCTGGCCCCGAACCTTGCGGGCGAGGCTCCCGCGGCCGTGTGTATGGCGTGGAAGGCCTCTGCCCAAGGTAGGTGTTCACACCGGCCGAACCGGGTCGTTGCCCACACCCTGCTTAGCCCACGCTTATCCCTTCGCGCCGTCCTCTCTTGACCCTCTTGGCAAGATCTGCCTTTTTCATGAGCCACATTCCACACGGACTAGGATTAGACTGGGGCGTAATGGTTTGTCCTTGGTGTGTGTTTTTCTGAGAAGCGGCCAGGGGCAGAAAAACTTCAACATTCACCCAAGTTTTTGGTTCTGCGGCCGGAAGCGTAAGCCTTGTCTCCGGCTTTGTTGTGATGAAAATGTCTTTCCAAACGTTAGTTTTACTTTGTGATTTTGGATTCTGGGTCTTTCCTCTGCATATCCCTTTCCACCCTCACAGAGCTCCAGGTTGAGAAACTTAGTTATTGTTTGCGAACTTTGCTTCTTGGTAGCTCAGTTCCCTGAAGTACTTAAAACTCACTGGGAGTCACAACTTCAACCACAATTAGTTTCATATTCACCAGAGGGAAATAAAGTAGAAACTTGGGCTAACAAATTTCGTTTATTTTAGTGAAGTGGCTTTGAATAGTAGTCTTTAATTGCCCGACTAAAACATTTCTCCCCGAAAAACAACTACCTAAATATATTTTGGCAGTTTAATTGCCTAATTTATTCCATTTGGGAGGTAATGACCTAGACGGTGTTAATCATTTACATGTAATTATCACTCTGTAATTTGTGCTTTTTTAACTTTATGTTTCTCCCTTTAGGAGCATAATGGCAGAAACTGCATCTCCACTGAAGCATTTTGTGCTAGCTAAGAAGGCAATCACTACAATCTTCGACCAGTTACTGGAGTTTGTTACTGAAGGGTCACGTTTTGTTGAAGGTTAGTTCTTAAGTTCTTAAAATGACTACTAGTGAAAATACATAAAGGTACTTTATTCTTTGAACTGTAGCTATTGGGTGCACACACATATAGGGCACTATGGTGAACAGTATGAGGGATACCAGAATGAGGAAAACCCATTTCTGTCCTACAAGAGACGAAGATTAAATGTTATTAATCACAACTAAGAAATAAATGCTTCTAAATAAAGTACTGTTTTAGCATTTTATTAGTAATTCGTTTACTCATGTCATCAGTAAACAGATTGTAATCATACTCACTTGAAAGATGAAAAAAACCAGGATGAGGAAAAAGTAAAGCAGGTTACCCAAGATTATACAACTAGAAAATGCTCAGATGAAAAACTCAGGCAGCCTGCGGTTAGCCATTATATTTGTCTCTCCAGCTTAGCTAAGCCAAGACCTCAGATCTATCTTTCAAGTAAGGCTGAGTTGCAGAAGGAAAAGGGCAAAAAGGAATTTTCATAAATTGAGTGTAACTGTTGAAACAGTTGAAATAGCAACAATGGGCAACGGTGGAGAGGAATGTCTTCCTAGGAAATGTTATTTTAGTTTTTTTTTTTTTTTTTTTAGATTTATTTTATTTGAAAGAGTGACAGAGAGGTGCCCATATGTGTCTGGCATTGCAGGCGATGGCTTAACCTGCTGTGCCACAATACTTTCCCTGTAGATAACTCTTGAAATTGTGTGTCCAGCAAGTATACAATGAAAAGGGAAGGATTCAGGAAAATTCTCAAGTGACAATGGGGAAATATTTGGTAGGTTGGTAGAAAACAACTTTTTTTTTTAAAAAATTATTTATATATTTGAAAGGCAGAATGACAGAGTGAGATCTTCCATTTGCTGGTTCACTCCCCAAATGGTCACAATAGCTGGGACTGGACTATATACAGGTCAGGCTGCTGAAATGTCTCCTGCGTTTCCCGTGTGGGTGCCAGGGGCCCAAGTACTTGGCCCATCCGCTGCTGCTTTCCCAGGCACATTAGTCCATAAGTTGGATCAGAAGTGTAACAGCTGGGGCTTGAACTAGTTCCTAACCCACTGTGCCACATTGCTCAGAATCAAACTTTTGTTTCCTTGTTCTTCCTAACCCTTCTATTGCTAGATTTGAATTCCTGTAAAGCTGGGATTTGCCTGGTTGTGTCCCTAGCACCAAACTTGACACAATTCCAGATTTTGTTGCTGAATGAGAAAGAAAGTACTGGTAGAATTTTTGAGTTTCTACTTTGGAAAGAATTTGAACTAACACATAACATTTACAAAATTTTGTTAAAAAAAATTGATGGGGATGCAGCACTGTTGCATAGTGGGTAAAGCCACTGCCTGTTCCTGTTCTGGCTGCTCCACTTCCGATCCAGCAACTTGCTAATATGCCTGGGAAAGCAGCAGAAGGTGGCCCAAGTGCTTGGGCCCCTGCACCCATGTGGGAGACCTGGAAGAAGCTCCGGGCTTCAGACTGGTCCAGCTTGGCCGTTGCCAAGTGGAGTGAACCAGCTGATGGAAGATTTCTCTTTGTCTCTTCCTCTCTTTCTCTGTAACTCTGCCTTTCAAGTAAAATTAATCTTTAAAAAAAATTGGTAGGAAATTAAGATGAAGTTAAATGTAATATCTTCTGTGTATTAAATAAGCACTGTGCTAGGAGTTAGTGAAATGGCAAATTTGATTTTACTGGTTCTAAAACATCAGAAAAATGTGAAAGAGACAAAGCAGATAAGAAGAATATCGAAGAGCAAAAATAAAATGAAAAACAAAAGTGAGTAATGACTTTCAAGACAAGTTTCTCCATTATTCACCAAATTGTTGGTAACATATTAATGTACTAGAAAAAATGTAAAATGAGCCGGGGGCTTCCTCTGGGTCTCCCATGTGGATACAAGGGCCCAAGCAGTGGGGCTGTCTTCCAGTGCTTTCCCTGGCCATAAGCAGAGAGCTGGATTGGAAATGGAGCAGCCAGCACACAGACTGGCACCCATATGGGATGCCAGCACCATAGGCAGAGGCTTAACCTGCTAGCCACAATGCAGGGCCCAAATTTTAAGTGGCAGTGTTTGTCTCTAATTAGGGCCATTGAGATAGCCAATGAACCTCTACCCCTTTACTTTCAAAAGAAGCGATAAGCTGAAGGGCATTTGCTATAGAGGCTGCTTGCTTGAGACATATAAGATGCCTAGTTCTAGTCTAGGCTCTGCTCCCAATTCCAACTTCCTGTTAAGGTGTACTCTGGGAGGCAGCAGGTGAGGTCTCAAGTAGTTGAGTCCCTGCCACCCACATGGGAAACCCTAGATTGAGTTTCCAGCTCCTGGCTTTGGCCTGACCCAGCCTTGGATGTTGCAGGTATTTGGAGAATGTACCTGTGAAAGAGAACTCTCTCTACCTTTCAAATAAATGTTAAATAAACAAAAGGAGTGATAAGAAAGTGAATGCCCGATTATCTTCTGTTGCTGAAATATAAACAAAACTGAAAGATTCTTCCACTTTTTAAGTTTGGACTCTTTAAGCTACTTCTGTTTTTGGAGCTTGGGGCTAGAGTGGGTGGTTATCCTAAGCCTAACAGGAGAAGGATACAACCATAATTCTCTTATTTTCTGTTAAATGTGCTATTTCTTTCCAGTGCTGTGGGAAGCAGACATGTGATAAAAGTAGTAAGGTCTTTTCCTAGCTTGGAGATCTTGAACCATATCTTAATTCTAAGGGGCTGCTATTAAAATTCCACAGTATCAAGCAGCCAGTTTCTTAGCATGTGGGCCAGGGTGGAACAATAATAGCTGGATATTAGGTTCTTATTTCCTTTTGTCATAAAAGCATTTTTTGTCTCAGGTGGAAAGTTTGTATTTTTTTAGAAGGTGATAAATAAATTTCCTTTTGAGGTGGGTATTTGGTACAGTTAAGATATTGCTGGGGACCCAACTCTTCTGTACCTGATCCAGTTTCCTGCTAATCTGCACCGTGGGAGGCCATAGGTGATGACTCAAGTAGTTGGGTTCCTGTCACCCATGTGTCAGACCTGGATTCAGTTCTGGGTTCCTGGCTCAGCTCTGGCTAATGTGGGCCTTTGGGGAATTAGCCAACAGATGGAAGATTGTTTTCGTGTCTCTGTCTCTTTGCCTTTCAAATAAAATGAAAATAAATTGTTTAAAGATTCATTTATTTATTTGAAAGTCAGAGTTACACAGAGAGAGAAGGAGAGGTAGAGTTAGAGAGAGAGAGATCTTCCATCCACATGTTCACTTTCCAGTTGGCTGCAACAGCCAGAGCTGCACCTATACGAAGCCAGGAATTTCTCCTAGTCTCTCACATGAGTACAGGGGCCCAAGGACTTGAGACATCTTCTGCTTTCCCAGGGCATAGTAGAGAGCTGGATCAGAAGTTTAACAACCAGGACTCCAACTGTCTTCTCATAAGGGATGCCGGCACTGCAAGTGGCAGCTTTACCCACTACACCACAGCGCCAGCCCCAAAAATAATTTTTTAAAGTGTTGAGTAACACTAGCTTGAAAAAATAAATTCTTTTTTGACTAGGGCCTTAAAATTTTCAGTATTTTTGAAATTCTTCAGGGTGGGATTTTTATGAATCACTGCCATAGGGCATTTATGTTTTACCAAATATTCAGATGCTATGGGTGTATTTTTTTCCTAAAAATTTATTAAATTATTTGAAGTGGAGAGGGTAAGAGAAAAAGAGATCTCTGGTATCTAATTTATTCCCCAAATGGCCTCAATATCTGGGGCTGGTCCAGGCTGAAGCCAGGAGTCCAGAGATCCATTCAGGTCTCCCACGTCAGTGATAGGGACCTAAGCACTTCGACCATCTGCTGCTACTTTCCCAGGCACATTAGCAGGGAGCTGGATCTGAAGCAGAGCAGTCAGGACTCAAACTGGTGCTCCATATGGGATGCCAGCATTGCAGGCAGCAGCTTAGTTTGCTGCACCATAATGCCGGCTCTGTTGTGGGCATTTTAATTTTTATTTCATTTTTTAAGAAGGTTTATACTTTTGTATTTTTTTTGACAGGCAGAGTTAGAGAGAGAGAGACAGAAAGAAAGGTCTTCCTTCCATTGGTTCACCCCCAAAACGGCCGCTATGGCCGGCGCACTGTGCCAATCTGAAGCCAGGAGCCAGGTGCTTCCTCCTGGTCTCTCATGCGAGTGCAGGGCCCAAACACTTGGGCCATCCCCGACTGCCTTCCTGGGCCACAGCAGAGAGCTAGACTGGAAGAGGAGCAGAATCCGGCGCCCCAACCGGGACTAGAACCTGGGGTGCCGGCGCTGCAGGTGGAGGATTAGCCAAGTGAGCTGTGGTGCTGGCCTATACTTATGTATTTTAAATATTATTTGACAATTACAGAGGGAGAGATCTTCCATCTACTGGTTCATTCCTCCAAATGGCTGCAATAGTGAGAGCTAGGTGAGGCTGAAGGCAGCAGCCAGGATCTTCATTCTGGTGTCATACATGAGTTGCAGGGGCCCAAATGTTTGAGCCATCTTCTGCTTTCTTCCCAGGTGCATTAATAGGAAGCTAGATCCAAAACAGAGTAACGGAGACTTGAATCAGGACTCCCATACGGAATGCCAGTGTAACAAGTGGTGGCTTAACCTGCAGTGCTATAGTGCCAGTCCCTGTCATTTTTATTTTAGAACAAAGGCAATATATACAATCTTAAATATCTTGTAATTAACTTATTATAAATTGATACCACTTTTTCTAATACCATTTCAATTTTTCAGCAACATATAAGAATCCAGAACTTGATCGAATAGCCGCTGAGGATGATCTGGTTGAAATACAGAGTTACAAAAACAAGCTTTCCATCATTGGTGAGGTGCTATCCCGGAGACACATGAAAGTGGCATTTTTTGGCAGGTAATCCTGTATTATTTCTTCTAAGATTAGTTTTCAGAAGTCAGTGTTTCTTCATCATATCCCCAGCTGTGTGTCTGATGTTTCAGCAATTTATATTCTTCCCTTTTCCTTCCATAACAGTTTCTACCTGTGTTGGATATTAAAGTTGGTAGTATATAAAATATTTTGTTTATTTTAGCTCCTGGGTTTAAGTGAAGTTTTGTGAAGGTCACCATATATTTTTTTAAAATTTTAAAGCAACATTTTTATTTTATTCTCACTGTTACTATACTAAATCAACTGCAGGGAAACCTATGTGAGTTTGCTGTTAATTTGTACATGGGAAGTCCCACAGTGGAAGTGTCCCTTTGTTTCCAGATGTAGAATTTCAAAGACATGCCAGCCTCTGTGCTTTCAGATTGCTCAGATTTTCTCCTACAAAGTTTCACCTTTTGAGAATTTACTTCTAAGAATTGGCTCTTGGCTAGTTATAAGAATAGAAATATAGGTAATTGATAAACATAATTTGTGAATTTTTAAAGTTTACACTGAGTACTAGTTATGCCTCCTGGAAGAATTCTGAATCTATATGTTGAGGTAGGATGTGCCATATGTCCGTGTTAACTGTCCAGAATGATAGAATGATCTGTGCCAGTCTACTCATTCTTTTAACCATCATTTGCTAACTACATGTGTGCTATATGGTCTGTTAAATACTAGAGATATAAACACAAATGACTGGGCCTGTAGTTGGTGACTCAAATATCCTGTGCTGTATACCAACAGAGTCATTTACTAAACTAAACTCATGGCCCTTCTAAGCTGTTTCCCATCTTAGAGCTTTTGCACTTGCAGTTTCTAAACCTTAGAATTTTTTTTTTCTTTAAGATTTATTTATTTGAAAGGCAGAATGTCAGAGACAGAGAGGTCTTCCATCCACTGGTTCACTCCCCAGATGACCGCAACAGCCAGAGCTTCTTTCCCAGTTTCCCATATAGGTACAGGGGCCCAAGGACTTGGACAGTTTTCTACTGCTTCCACAAGCCATAGCAGAGAGCTGGATCAGAAGTGGAGCAGCTGGGACTGGAACTGGCACGCATATGGGATGCTGGCACTGCAGGCAGTGGTTCTACTCACTACACCACATTGCTGGCCCCCTCAGAATTCTTTTTGCCTTGTCTGGCTCCTTCTCACTCTTCAGATTTTCTCCTTAATGTTACTACCTCAACAGTAGTCGCTGACCACTATCTAAAGTATTCCTTCTCAGTTATTCTCTCTTAAAGCACAGTTTGTGTCCTTCAAAACTTTTCACAGAACTATTACACTGTTTGTTTTCATTGTCTGCTTCTTTCATTTGACTATTCTAGAGCCATTCATAGAGCCTGAAGAGCCTCCACCTCAAATTAGGGTGGAGTAGGAGTAGAAAGAGGCCTCCTGGAGAGCTGATGGCTCAGCTGCCCCACCTGAGAAGGAGAAATAGCTGTGGAAGGCCCCTTCCCCATCCTACAGTGGCTTGACTTAACTCTGCATTCTCTACATTGGTGTAAAACCAATATATATTTATCAGAAATTATACCTCAAATTCTGAATTTAGGTCTTTGCTTTGCTAGCAGTCTGTGATACTGTACTCCCGTGCAGTGGCAGTGAGCTGCAGCTCCCAATCAGCTGTGTGATCACAGGGTTGAACAGCTGGTACTCAACAGTGTTGCTAACCTGTGATGTTGGTAGGACAGGTGGATTAAATATATTTTCAATTTAGGATGGCTTTCTCAGGATTTAATTCCATCTTGAATTGAGAGGCATCCTGTATTAGTTTTGGTTGTGAAAAAGATCCAAAAGCCTATTCCTTGCAAAGAGCCACAAATAGAAAGGGAAAGACCATGAGGTGTTTGTAGAACTGTAATTGATGACAGGAGCCAGATTTTGAGGGACCCTGTTTATCATGGAAGGAATTCTGCATTCTTTTATTTTGAAAAATAATGATGAAAGGATTGTGTGTTACAATTATGACCATAAATACTAGGGGATTTTTTAAAAGATTTGTTTATTTGAAAGAGGGAGGGCCAGGGCCAGCCTTGTGGCTTAGTGGATTAAACCACTGCCTATGCTCTCAGCATCCCATATAGGTCCCATTTCATATCCCAGGTGCTCCACATCTGATCCAGCTCCCTGCTAATGGCCTGGGAAAACAGTGGAAGATGGCCCGAGTGCTTGGGCCCTTGCACCCATGTAGGAGACTCAGATGAAGCTCTTGGGGCCTGGCCCCACCCCAGCTGTTGTTTGGGGAGTGAACCAGCAGATGGAAGCTCTCTCTCTAACTCTGTTTTTCAAATAAATAAATAAATAAATAAATAAAAACAAGGGCAGAGAGAGAGACCTTCAGTCCCTTGGCTCGCTCCTCAATTGCACACACACTTGATCACTTGATCTTAGCCAAAAGGCCAAGAAGCTATTCACTCCTCAGTTGGATACAGCAGCCAGGACTGCGCCAGGCCAAAGCCAGGATCCTGGAACTCCATCCTTATCTCCCACATGGATGGCAGGGGCCCAGTCATTTGGGCCATAATCGGCTGCTTTCTTAGCCTCATTAATGGAAAGCTGGATGGGAGGTGTAGCTAGGACCAGTCCTCTGATATGGGATGTTGGCATAGGAAGCTCTGGCTTAACCCACTGGGCCACCACACCTGTCCCTGGGGTAGGATGGATTGAATTAGAACACGAGGTAGGAAACAATTGCATTACTGTAGGCAAGAAATTTTTTAAGAGCTTAGCTTATGCACTTGGAGAAGAGGAGTTAATAAAAAAGAGTATGTTATGCTGGCCTGATAATTATCTCAGGAAGATAAGAATCAACATTCCTTGGCTGTTGACTGAGAGCCTTTCATTGCCATGGGTTTGTGGAAGATAAGTAAAGAGTTTGGTTTTTGATGATTTAGGTGTGCATCTGTGATATCCATTAGGCATTAGAGTAGAATTATCAAAAGGGCAGTTGGGTATGTGAAACTGGAACTAAGGAGAATTCTGAAAATTTAGTCATCATTGACTTGTGTTGGTTATTGAGATAATAGGAGCTGATGAGATGATTCAAGGAGAGGCTATATGAATGAAAAAAGAATAACAAGACTGGAAAGAGGAAGAGGGAACTGTCTATGGAATATAGATGCCAGATAGATAAAAGGAAAATTATGAAGCATTGGTATTGTGAAAAAAGAAATCCTTATTCCTTTTCCTGTCACAGAGTGCCTAAAACCCTTGGAATTTCTTAAGTTATAGGAGTATTTTTTGTTACTTGTCTTTTTTTTTTTTTTTTTTGAAACATTTATTTATTTATTTATTTGGTAGAGTCACAGAGAGAAATATCTTCCATCCACTGGTTCACTCCCTAAGTGTCCGCAATGGTCAGAGCTGGGCCGATCTGAAGCCAGGAGCCAGGAGCTTCTTCCGGGTCTTCCATGTGGGTGCATGGACCTAAGGACTTGGGCCATCTTCTACTGCTTTCCAGAGCCATAGCAGAGAGCAGGATCAGAAGTGGAGCAGCCGGGACTTGAACTGGCATCCATATGGGTTGCCGGCACTGCAGGCAGCAGCTTCACCCTCTACACTACAGCTCCTGCCCCTTATGATTAGATTTATTTATTTGAAAGGTACAATGACAAAGAGAAAAAAAGAGATCTTCCTTCTACTGGTTCATTACTGGTTCATTGCTCAGATGACCTCCATAGCTGGCGCTGGGTCAGGAGCCTGAACTTTGTCCTGATCTCCCATGTGGGTGATAGGGCCCAAGCAGCTGGACCATCTTCCATTGCTTTCCCAGGCATATTAAAGAGCTGGATTGGAAGCCAAGCAGCTACCAATCCTTTTGTTAAAATCTGAGTTTATGGCCGGCGCCGTGGCTCAATAGGCTAATCCTCCACCTTGCGGCGCCGGCACACCGGGTTCTAGTCCCGGTCGGGGCGCCGGATTCTGTCCCGGTTGCCCCTCTTCCAGGCCAGCTCTCTGCTATGGCCAGGGAGTGCAGTGGAGGATGGCCCAGGTGCTTGGGCCCTGCACCCCATGGGAGACCAGGAAAAGCACCTGGATCCTGGCTCCTGCCATCGGATCAGCGCGGTGCGCCGGCTGCAGCGGCGGCCATTGGAGGGTGAACCAACGGCAAAAGGAAGACATTTATCTCTCTGTCTCTCTCTCTCACTGTCCACTCTGCCTGTCAAAAAATAAAAAAAAAATAAAAAAAAAAAATCTGAGTTTATGCTAATCATTTGACTTAGAGTGGGTACTTGATGGCCTCAGGACAGAGCCACTGAACAGAAAGATGAAGTGATAAGAGGGTTGGAACTTTGAGGTTGTGAGCCCCACCTACCAACTTCCAGGAAGCAGGGTGGGGAAAGATAGAGGTAAAGCCCTGTATAAACTCTTGAACATCAAGACTGATGTACTTCCAGTTGCTAACCAAGAGGAAGTGCTAGGAGGGTAGTGTGGGAGAGAGAACGCAGAATGCTTAGGTACATCCCACCCTATTATTTTCTTTTTATCTCTTCATCTGTCCTTTCAACATCTTTATAATATCCTTTATAAGAAACCAGTAAATTTAAGTAAAATGTTTTTCTGAATTCTGTGAGCCATTTTAGCAAATTACTGGACTCAAGGAAGAGGATTTGTGGGAACCCCAATTTCTACTGGTTGGTCAGAAGCACAGATCACAATCTAAACTTAAAGTTGGAGAGCCTTGTGGGACTAAGCCCAAGGCTTATGGTATCTAACACTATCTCCAAGTGTTATCAGAAATGAATTGACAGGCCCATTGGTGTGGGTTAAGCCTCCACCTGTGACACCAGTATCCCATATGGATGCTGGTTCAAGTGTAGCTCCTTACTAATGTGCTAAAGTAGCAGCAGATGGCCCATATGCTTGGGTCCCTGCCACCTATGTGGGAGACCCAGAAGAAACTACTGGCTTCTGGCTTCAGCCTTGCCCAACCCTGGTGGTTGCGGCCATTTGGGATTAAACCATTGGATGGAAGATCTCTGTCTCCCTTTCTTTTTCTTTCTTTCTTTCTTTCTTTTTTTTTTTTATTATTAAAGATTTATTTATTTATTTGAAAAGCAGACTTAGAGGTCTTCCATCCTCTGGTTCATTCTCCAGATGGCCACATGGCAGGAGCTGTGCTGATCCACAGCTAAGAATCAGGAGATTCTTCCAGGTCTCGCACGTGGATGCAAGGGCCCAAGAACTTGGGCCATCTTCCATTGCTTCCCTAGGCCATAGCAGAGAACTGGATCGGAAGTGGAGCAGCTGGGACTTGAACAGGTGCCCATGTGGGATGCTGGCACTTTACCCGCTAAGCCATAGTGCCAGCCCCTCTGTCTCCCTATCTCTCTGTAAATATACCTTTCAAATAAATAATTGAAAGAAAAAATAGAAATCAATTATAGGATACCAGTAGATGTCTGCTGAAGAATTGCTTGGTGTGTGTGGGGAAAATACAGAAGTATTTTGTGTTGATTATGAGTAGAATAGAAAGGTTGTTGGTTTTTTGAAAATGTTTTGGAAAGGCAGAGTGTCTAAAATTTTAGTATTATCACTCAGCATCTCTCTTTTAGTCTTTAGAGTCATCTGTAGATTCACCTGAGGTATCTGCATCATTAGTGGACTCCCCAGATAATTCTGATACAGGGTAGGGAGACTGAAGCCACTCTAGAGGATCAAGACTGCTACAGCAGGCTTCTCTCCAAGGACTGGAAGGATTAATTTTAAGGGAGCTCATAGGTGTCTTTAAAGACGTCATAATGGCAATGAAAGTCAATGTTGAGATGATTAAGGCAAGATGGCTCCCTGGGAAAAGGTGAGTCACATACCATAAAGATAAGATGCTGTGTTTGCAAAGAAGCAAAAGGCTTACTATGATTGTATAACAAATGATCCAGAACTTAGCAACTTAAAAACAGCCATTTCATGATGGTCACTGATTCTGTGAGTCAAAAATTCAGACGGTGTATATCAGGGATGTCTTGTTTTTACTCCAAGATATTTGGAACCTCAGCTGAGAAGATATAGCTGTTGTGAGTGGCTTAGCAACTGAGGGAATGAATCATGTGAAATCTTCGCTCATGTACCTGGAACCTAGGCAGGGATAACTTGAAGACTAGGATTGTCAACCCTACACCTCCCCAGGCCTCTCCATTTAGCCACACTTCCTTGAAACACAACAGACTCAGGGTAATTGGACTTGTTACTTGTCAAGGCTCCAAGTGCATATGGTTCAATGAACAAGACAGTGGCAGTCTTGTTGCTTATAAATTTTTGGTGAAACAGACACAGACCAGCCCTGATTTAAGGAGATGTGACATTAGATCCTGTCTTGTGATGGAAGGAGTGTTCCAGAATTTTTACTTGCGATTTGAAATTGCCATAAGAAGCAAGAAAGAAAAGTCAAGAATAGCTATGTGGGAAAGGTGAGGTTTATTTTCCTGTAGGTTTTTTTTCCCCGGACCCTGTATGGATGCATTTTGATATTTGGGTAAGTCAGGTTATCCACCTTTTCATTAAAAATGCAATCTGATGAAATTTTTAACAAAATTAGAAATTTGAAAAAGTTGGCCTGAGACTTTTTGAAAACAATTTTTTTACCCTTGTTTTTCCTGATTTTGCTTATTCTTCAGGACAAGCAGTGGGAAGAGCTCCGTTATCAATGCAATGCTGTGGGATAAAGTTCTCCCTAGTGGAATTGGACATACAACCAACTGCTTCCTGAGTGTTGAAGGAACTGATGGAGATAAAGCTTATCTTATGACAGAAGGATCAGATGAAAAAAAGAGTGTGAAGGTACAATAGTTAACCGTTAGCCATAGAATGTCCTTGAAATAACGTCCTTAATTTGTTTTTTAAAAACATTTTTATTCAATGTCTATATTGTTAGAGAAATGGAATAGCTATTATTTCTATTTGTAACTTTCAAAGCCATTGTGAATATTTTAAGATCTTAAATTGTTTTGCTTCAGAGCTAAATTATTTGAATAAAACCTGTACTTAAAATAAAAGTTTATTAGAATAAAACTTTTTTAAACCTTCCAATGAGAAGAGCACTGTTGGTATATTGTTTCCATTTAATCTAAAATTTGTCTTTTATAAGAAAACTTTGTTTAAAACATTAGTTGATGGAATCTGTTTTGATAGATATCTGTTTCTAGAAACAGTGTTTTACCTCAGTATTCACTGAAAATGTTAATGAATAAATGTTACAGCTTTATTAAATAAGGGCTAATGGTAGTCTCCTACTTTCAAAAATTTCAAAAATTCAGTGCCACTGTACTCCTTCCACCAAAATAAATAAATAGAAAGGAACAAAAATTAGGATGTAAGATGTTGATTCTGGAACAAAAGTAGTTGGTAAAGGCACTGTTTCTTATGGTCACTATATCTTTTTTTTTTTTTAATTTATTTATTTCTTTGAAAGTCAGAGTTAGAGAGAGGAGAGGCAGAGAGTGTCTTCCATCTGCTGGTTCACTCCCCAGTTGGCTGCAACAGCCGGAGCTTCTCTGATCCAAAGCTAGGAGCCAGGAGCTTCCTCTGGGTCTCCCATGTAGGTGCAGGGGCCCAAGAACTTGGGCCATCTTCTGCTTTCCCAGGCCATAGCAGAGAGCTGGATTGGAAGTGGAGCAGCTGGGACTCGAACTGGTGCCCATATGGGATGTTGGCACTGCAAGCGACAGCTTTACCCACTATACCACAGTGCTGGCCCCATGGTCACTAATATCTTATGTCAAAATCTCTGCTATGAACAAAGAAGTTCAGTATTTGAAGACCCATGCCATTTCAGGGTTTGTTGATGAAGTCATGGGTCTGGTTTTTGTATATCAGATTAGTTATGAGAAAATATTAGATAATATTTAAGAAAGTGTGTTTCAAACTTTTCCAGGGGTGGGGAATGTCCAGCCTTCAGGCCATAAAAGGTCTATGAAGATCATTAAGTCTGGCATTGCCAAGGCAACAACAGGCAGGACTCAAATCCAGTGAATCGGGGGCCAGCATTATGGTATAGTGGTTAAAGTGAGTGCCTGGGACACTGGCATCATATTGGCGTCTGTTCATGTCCAATAGATAATCTTTTTTTCAAAAGTTTTATTTATTTGAGAGGTAGAGTTACAGACGGTGAGAGGAAGAGACGGAGAGAAAGGTCTTCCATCCACTGGTTGAAATGGCTGCAACAGCCAGAGCCGAGAGCCAGGAGCTTCCTCCAGATCTCCCACATGGGTGCAGGGGCCCAAGGACTTGTGCCATCTTCCACTGCTTTCCTAGGCCACAGCGGAGAACTGGATCAGAAGAGGAGCAGCTGGGACTCAAACTGACACCCATATGGATGCTGGCACTGCAGGCTAGGATTAACCTGTGTCACAGTGCCAGCCCCAGATAATAATCTTTAAAAAAAACATAGGTCTGTTATCAATTTGTTAGCTTTTTAAAAAAGATTTATTTATTTGAAAGGCAGAGTTACAGACAGAGTGGGAGAGACAGAGGTAGAAATCTTCCATCCTTTGGTTCACTCCCCAGATGGCTGCAATGGCCAGCACTGGGCCAGGCTGGAACCAGGAGCTTCATCCAGGTCTCTGGGCCAGGCCAAAGCCAGAAGACTGGAACTCCATATGGGAGTGTGCCACATGGGTGGCAGGGGCCCAAGCACTTGGGTCATCTTTAGCTGCTTTCCCAGATATATTAGCAGAGAGCTGCTAGGGAAGTATAGCAGGTGGAACTTGAACCTGTGCTTGTAAGGGATGCTGGTGTCTCAGGTGACATGTTAATATGCTATACCATAACATTGATCCCTCATTGCAAGTTTGCAAACCTATAAAAATGATTACTAAAGCTAGCAAAACAAAATACCCCAAAAAACCTACTGAACATTATCTTCATGAAAATTTACTTCAGCCCTAATCAGGACTATTGTGCCTACTTGAAAACCGATGTTCCCTTAAAATTTGATGCAGAATCGCAGATGAACCATAGAAGTTGTAGAGGTCTGTGTGCTGATGCCCTTTCCTTGAGTTAGTTACTAAACCCTCTGAATATATTGTGCAGTTAATATACACATGAAATGTATTAAATGAATACATTAATTTCAGAAATTAATGTATATCATATGTCATCCTAAGAAAAATAGATATTTTAGGAAATTAGGTGGAAAGAAAAAGCAGTCATTAGTTTCAATTAGATTTGTGTGACTAGAGAATCACATGTTGAGAAAAACCTTTCATTTGGAATTGAGTAAATTGGGGTCAGCGTTGTGGTGGAGTGGATTAAACCACTACCTGCAACCTGTATATGGATGCCAATTTGATTCTTGGCTGTTCTGCTTCTAAACCAGTTTCTGCTAACATGCCTAGGAAAGCAGTGGAAGATGGCCCAAGTGCTTGGGCTTCTGCACTCAAATGTGCGAGACCCAGATGGGAGTTCTGGGCTCCTGGCTTTGGCTTGGCCCAGTCCCTGCTGTTGCAGCCATTTGGGAGTGAACTGCCAGATGGATATCTCTCTCTGTCTCTCCCTCTCTCTCTCTGACTTTCAAATAAATAACAAATCTTGGGGCTGGCATTGTGGCATAGCGGGTAAAGCTATCACCTGCAGTGCCCGCATCCCATTTGGGCGCCAGTTCAAGTCCTGGCTGCTCCACTTCTGATCCAGCTCTCTGCTGTGGCCTGAGAAAGCAGTAGAAGATGGCCCAAATCCCTGGGAGACTTGGAAGAAGCTCCTGGCTGCTTCTCTCTCTCCCTCCCTCTCCCTCCCTCTGTCTTCCTCCCTCTCTCTCTTTCTCTGTGTCTGTCTTTCAAGTAAAATAAGTAAATTTTAAAAATTTAAAATAAGAAAAAAGAAGAGTATGCACTGACATCCTGTGTTGCCTCCACTTATTCCTTTGGGGCTTTTAAATCTATTTAACTTAAACCTATTTCAATAATGACATTTCCTCTAATAATGCTATTTTTCCCATATTACTCAGCAACACACATTCATTACAGAAGAGCCAGAAATTACAAATGCCAAAGAGAACAGACTCAAACTCACATACTTCACAAAATAAATAGGAATTTTATGAATTGCATAAGATTCCATTACTAGAGTTGTTGGATATTTATAATATTTCCAACTCTGATTAATTTTGCAGAGAATGAGTATGCTGTTTTAATGGATCTTTTTTTCTATTTGATAATTTAAAAACTTGGGTTTCTCAAGATTGCTCAGGTAGTTTTATTTCAAACTGTTTAAAGTTCTACCTTTTGTACATTTTTTAAAACAATGTACCAAATTGTATTTTAATTTTTATTACATTTTATTGCAAGTAGATTTTTTTATATTTTTCTTTGCTTTAGACAGTAAATCAACTGGCCCATGCCCTTCATATGGACAAGGACTTGAAAGCTGGCTGTCTTGTACATGTGTTTTGGCCAAAGGCAAAATGTGCCCTCTTGAGAGATGACCTGGTTTTAGTAGACAGGTAAAATTACATGTGAATTGTGGTTTCCCTTGTTAAAAGTTTTTTTAATAGCATGATGCTACTTACTTTAATGCATACTACATAAAAATCTAAGATGTTGTATTGCTGTTCTTTTCTCTTTTGAAATTGTTGGTGTTTGTCTTTTAATTAGTTATATAAAACTGCCAACTATTCATATAATTTAATTACAAGAAATTTTAGAGAGCCATTTTTGAAGTTTCTTTATACTAATTTTGTGTTTTGGATAAGTGACTCAGTATTAGAAATTGCATATTTAGATAATACTAAGCATTTTAAAGTAATTTATACAGAAGTAACTTTAGATAATTTTCTTTTTTAAAAAATGTTTATTTGATAGAGACAGAGAGTGCATGTACATGAGAACCTCAGCTCACCAATTTACTCTTCAAATGTCTGCATAGCTGGGACTGGGTCAGGCTGAAGCTGGGAACTAGGAACTCAATCTAGGTGTCCCAAGTGGGTAGCAGAGACCCAACTACTTGAACCATCAGCTGCTGCCTCCCAGAATGGGCATTAACAGGAAGCTGAGTTGGGAGTAGAGCTAGGAGATGCAGGAATCATAACCCTTAGACCAAATGAATGCCCTCATAAATAGATATTTTTCTTAACCATTAATGAATGAATTCTATTTTTCAAAAAAAAATATTTATTTACTTGAAAGAGACAGAGAAGGAGAGGCAAAGTGAGAGAGGTCTTCCATCCACTGGTTCATTCCCCAACTGGCCACGATGGCCAGAGCTGCACTGATCCGAAGCCAGGAGCCAGGAGCTTCTTCCAAGTCTCCCACACAGATGCAGGGGCCCAAGGACTTGGGCCATCTTCTATTGCTTTCCCAGGCTATAACAGAGAGCTGGACTGGAAGTAGAGCAGCCTGGATGAGAACTGGCGGTGGCTTAACCTGCTATGTCAGAGCGCCGGCCCCAAGTGAATGAGTTCTTGAGAAAGTTTCCCCAAATAACTTTGATGGACAATTAATGTACCATTTTGTCTTTTAAGAGTTAATAGAATTGAGGTGGTATTGTGGCGTAGCAGGTAAAGCCACCACTTGTGATACCAGTATCCCATATGGGTACTTGTTGGTGTCCTGGCTGTTCCACTTCCGGTTCAGCTCCCTGCTAATGGCCTAGGAAAAGCAGTAAGATACCCTCAAGTGTTTGGGCCTCTGCCACCTGGGTAGGAGACTTGGTTGATGCTCCTGGCTTTGGCCTGGCCCAGAGCTGGCTGTTGCGGCCAGCTGGGAGTGAACCAGGAGATGGAAGACCTCTGTCTCTGTTTCTCCCTCTCTATAACTGCCTTCCAAATTAATAGAATGCTTTTGGAATTCTTTTTCATTGCTTTTGGTTACTTTTTGTTTATTATGTTTAAAAATTATCCTGTGAATCTAATGCTTAATTAAGCAATATCATGAACAAAAAATACTTGAGTGATTTTAAAAAATTCTGGTGTGCCATTATGTTCAGTTAAAATTTCAATGTTCTATGGAAACCATTTGTTTTTGATAATAAACTTTCCTTTTAATAGGAAGAGTTTTAAGTAATCAATAGAAATAGCTCAGATGAGAGAGAAGATGCTTGCAAAATAAAAATATTTGGTTTAAATATATCAATGACTAGTGATTAGTTTATTTCATGGCCATATTGCGTCGATGTTAGGATAGACAGTTGGCATATTCTTCACTGCAATTTAGAAAAATAAATTTCTATTCAAATTTGAGAGACATAGAGACAGCAGCTGTTACCTGGTGGTTTGTTCTTCGGTTGCTCATAGTGGCCAGGACCTAGACAGCTTGTTGGCAGGAGCCAGGAATGCAATCCATGTCTCCTATGCAGATGACAGGACTTCACTACTATTTTTACAGCTTAAGTGGTGTATTGAATTTATATCTCTCAGAGGGTATTGTATTTTACTATTTGTGTTTATAAGCACTCAAATTTCTGAGCTGTACTGGACATGGCTAATAGCACCATTTTTGATTATCTGTTAGTCTGGCTTGTTTTATGCTTCAGTTTTTCAGTCTTTCATTTTTTATTTTTTATTTTTTAATTTTTGGGGGGGACAAGCAGAGTGGACAGTGAGAGAGAGACAGAGAGAAAGGTCTTCCTTTGCCGTTGGTTCACCCTCCAATGGCCGCCGCGGCCGGCGCACTGCGCTGATCCGAAGGCAGGAGCCAGGTGCTTCTGGTCTCCCATGGGGTGCAGGGCCCAAGCACTTGGGCCATCCTCCACTGCCTTCCCTGGGCCACAGCAGAGAGCTGGCCTGGAAGAGGGGCAACCGGGACAGAATCTGGAGCCCCGACCGGGACTAGAACCTGGTGTGCCGGCGCCGCAAGGCAGAGGATTAGCCTATTGAGCCACGGCGCCGGCCAACCTTTCAAAACATAAAGATAAAAAAGATTGAAAATTGATCATATAACCTGTTTTGTCAAAAATCACTGGGTTAAAAATTTCCTAGGAGTCATATGAATGACTGGCAGAAATCCTATCCTTCAGGTTTCAAATAATATATAAAAATTAAAAATTTCTGTAACCCAAATTTTCTCTCTAAAAATGTCATATAATACAGTTTTTGTTTGACTTCCATTAGCCCAGGCACAGATGTCACTACAGAACTGGATAGCTGGATTGATAAATTTTGCTTAGATGCTGATGTCTTCGTTTTGGTTGCAAACTCTGAATCAACACTAATGAATACGGTAGGATTTAATCATATTATTGTTTGGGTAATAGGAAATTAATTAGGGTCTTTTAAAAAAATTTATCTTATTTGAAGGGAAGAGGGAAACACACACACACACAAACACAAGAGAGATCTATTCACTGTTTCCCTCCTCAAATACTCACAATAACCAGTGGGTCGGGCTGAATCCAGAAGCAAGAAACTCAGTGTGAGTTTCCAATAGGTGGGAGAGACCCAAGTACCTGAGTTATCACCTGTTGCCACCCAGGGTGCATAATAGCAGGAAGCTGGAATCAGGAGCTGAGTTCTGACTTGAACCCAGGCATTCTGATATGGGATGAAGGATTTTTTATTACCATAGGACTAGAAAGGCCACCTTTGATCTTCTGTAGTGTTTCCTGGGTTTCTATAGCAATCTAAGCTTTAGCTTCTGGTGAATCTTTATGAATTTAAGGTGATAATGTATATAATGTTGACATTTGGGTTATTTGCCAGTTTCAGAGAGAATGGGTGCCAGAGTTATTAAGCTGTTAAGTCTACTGAATAAAGTGTTCCCACTCTTTGCCATCTGTCAGATGAGATGTTTAATTTTTTCAGTTTTGTCAACATTTTCCAGCTTTACCCATATATACCCTAGGTTCCAGCCTACCTGCGTATACTTTAAGCCATTGTCAAACCTAGAACAATTTAGATTTAGTTATTATTTTTTTTTATTATCAAGGGTGGGGAGAGGGAGAGAGAAAGTATATCTTCCATATCCTGGTTCACCCTTCAAATGGCCACAACAGCCAGAGTTAGCCAGGCCTAAGTTAGCCCAGCACTACATCTGTCTCCAATGTAAGCATGAGGGTCCTAAGCCTTGGGCCATCTTCTGCTTTTCCAGGCACATTAGCAGGGAGCTGGATTGAAGTGGAGCAGCCAGGACTCAAACCTGTACTCTCATATAGAATGTCGGCATTGCACATTGTGGTTGTTCCCCCCCTCCCTTAAGATTTATTTATTTATTTTGAAAGAGTTACAGAGAGAGAAGGGGAGAGAAAGAGAAAAGGAGATATCTTCCATATGCTTGTTGACTTCCCAGATGTCCACAGTGTCCAGTGCTGGGCCATGCCGAAGCCAGGAGCCAAGAGCTTTCTTTGGTTTCCCATGTGGGTGGAAGGGGCCCAAGCACGTGGGCCATCTTCCACTGCTTTTCCCAGACCATTTGCAAGGAGCTGGATTGCAAATGGAATAGCCAGGACACAAACTGGCACCCGTATGGGATGCAGATAGCATTATCAGGTGGTGACTTAACCCACTACGCCACAATACCAGCTCTGCATGGTGTATTTATTTATTTATTCAAGAAGAAGAGTTAGAGACAGAGGGAGAGACAGAGGTTTTTTTTAGAGTTTAGGTGTTTAATATTCAAACTACGATATGATTTTAAAAAATTCTTACTAGCAGCATGGGAACAATCAAATATCCTAACAGTCTAGGTGTTACTAGCAAACTTGTTTGTCATTATGTTAAAGTTTGGATGGCTCAGTATGTATCACATTGACTAGGCTGCTGCCAACAACACTGATGGTTGTTTATAATCTGGTGATAAATGAATAAATGCTGAAAATCTACTTTAGGAGTGGGTATTTTGCTTAGCTGTTAAGAAATTGAGTCCGAGCTTTGGCTTCTGATTCCAGCTTTGTGTTACTGTGTACCCTAGGAGGCAACAGGTGATGACTCACGAATTTGGGCCCTTGCTGCCCACTTGGGACACCTGGATGAGTTTGTGGCTCCCAGCTTTGACCTAGTCCAGCCCTGACTATTACAGGCATTTGAGGAGTGAACCAACAGAGTGAACCTCTTTTTTCTCTCTGCCTCGAAGATAATGTTCATGTTAGAATTCCATTTGCATGTTACATAGAGAAATTTCTGATACACATTGTCATTTTGGTGCCTTTGCTTATGCTGCTCCTTGGACACAACTTATACACCTCCAAATTTTTCACCTTTCAAAATTCCCAGTTGACAGGAATTTTAAGCCCATCTTTATCACCACTTCTTTATGGAGCTTTTCCCAAAAAGTCAGCTAGATGTGGTGTCGCCTTCCTCTGAATATTCACAGCATTTATTTATAGTGTTTATGGCATACACCTTACTTTGTTGTTCATTACAATGAGTTTTACAAGTCTTACATTATTAGCCTTTTTACAAGTTGTGTTTGAGAGAGCAAGTGAGAACGTGTGTGTGCAAGCATTCACTGGTTCACTTCCTCTTCCTGCAACAGCTGGGACTGGACCAGGCTGAAGCCAAGAGCTGGAAACTCAATCCAGGTTTCCCACATGGGTGGCAGGAACCCAGCTATCACTGCTGCCTCCCATGGTTTGCATTAGTGGGAAGTTGGAAAAAGGTGTCAGAGCTGGGAATTGAACCCAGGCAGAAGAGTGTAGGACACAGGCATCCTAACTGGCCAGGGCAGTTAACCTTTAGGCCATAGGCACATGCACATAAGTTAGCCTCCTTTACTGCAGAGCAATAGAGAGAGGGAGGGAGAGATATTTTCCATCCACTCATTTCCTAAATGGCTGCAACAGTTGGTCTGGGCTAGGCTGAAGCCAGGAACCAGGAACTCCATCCTAGTCTTATATGTGGGTAGGCCCAAGTGTTTGAGCTGTCTTCTGCCTTCCTAGGTTCATTAGCAGAAGCTGGATCAGAAGCAGAGCAGCTTCGACTCAAACCGTTGCTCAGATATGAGATGCCTTTGTTGCAAGCAGTGGTTTAACCTACCGCACCAAAATACTGGCTACTAGCCAGTATTTTGAGGTAGCTTTTCAAGAACAGGGCTACAGGGATCTTGAAAAAGTTTATGGAAAATATTATGAAAAAATTGTGCATGGATTTCAAAAATTTTTGCACCAAAATAAACAAACTTTAGTTATATTTTCCATAAATGTTTAGAAATATCCTTGTATCATATCTAGTAGTTTTACCTCCTACATGTAGTAGAGCCTGATGAATATTTGTAAAATTAGATTTTCAAAAAGACTCAATGGTGGCAGGCAATTTAGCCTAGGGGTTGACACCAATTCCGCATTGGAACTTCAATTCAGTACCTGGCTCTGGCTTCTGACACTAGCTAATGCAATCCTTGGGAGGCAGTGGTGATGCTCAGGTAATCTGAGTTCCTGCCACCCATGCAGAAGACTGCATTGTGTTCCTAGCTTCAGGCTGGCCCAATCCCAACTGCTGTGGGCATTTGAGGATTGAACCAGCAGGTGAGAATTTACTCATTCATTCATTCATTCATTCTCTCTCTCTGTCTCTCTCTCTCACACACACACACACACACACATTAAAAAAATTTTTTTTAAAGAATTATGGTAGGAGTGGGAAAATCTATACTGTAGCCTTTGTATGTGCTAATTTTCTCATCTTTGAAAAATTTAATGCCCATAGAATGCTTTGGGATCCTTTATCAATGGATGTTAATCACGGTTGTCTTAAGTGGTTCAGACCTTTAAAATGAGGTGTCAATTCTAAATTTAAATATAAGAGATCTTTTATAAGTGAACTTACCATGGGGTTTTGTTGTTTTTCAGGAAAAACATTTTTTTCACAAAGTGAACGAACGGCTTTCCAAACCTAATATTTTCATTCTGAATAATCGTTGGGATGCCTCTGCATCAGAGCCAGAATACATGGAAGATGTAAGTTGTTTTTTCTCTAAAGTGGTTTTTTTTTTTTTTTTTTTTTTTTTTTTTTTTTTTTTTTTTTTTAAGATTTATTTATTTGAAAGGTAGATTTACAGAGAGGGAGAGACAGAAAGATCTTCCAACCACTGGTTCACTACCCAAATGGCCACAATGGCCAGAGCTGGGCCGATCCGAAGCCAGGAACCTGGAGCTTCATCTAGGTCTCCAATGTGGGTATAGCTTGGGCCATCTTTTGCTGCTTTTCCAGGCCATAGCAGAGAGCTGGATCAGAAGAGGAGAAGTTGGGAATTGAACCCATGTGGGATGCTGGCGCCACAGGCAGTGGCTTAGCCTGCTACGCCAGAGCACAGGCTCCTCCCTTAAGTTTTGAAATGTAGTCATGTTATCTGAGAAGACAATACACATTATAGAATAGAACTATTCTATTACTTGTAGAAAGAATATTATAGAAAAGTGATATGGATGTGTGAGAGAGACCAACTGAGCTACTTGAGGGAAAACCTAGTTATTTCAGAAATTTAAAATTTTGTTTTAATTTTTTGTTGAAATATGCATAACAGAAAAATACATAAACTGTACATGTTAAGCTCAGTGAATTTCACAAATTTAACACTTGTTTCAGGATCTATGTCAAAAGGCATAACACTCCCAACTTCAGAATCTACCTTCCTGGTCTTTTCTATCCTCTACCCTCCCATTTAATGAAAACCACTTATCAGAACTTTTTTTTTTTAAAGATTCATTTTTTTTTTTATTTGAGAGGTAGAGTTACAGACAGTGAGAGGGAGAGACAGATAAATGGCCACAGCTGTGCTGATCCGAAGCCAGGAGCCAGGTGCATCTTCCCAGTCTCCCATGTGGGTGCAGGGCGGACCATCTTCCACTGCCTTCTCAGGCCACAGCAGAGATTGGAAGTGGAGCAGCTGGGTCTAGAACCGGCGTCCATATTGGATGCCAGTGCTGCGGGGGAGGGGGGGAGGGATTAACCTACTGCGCCACAACGCCAGCCCCCTTTTTTTGGTGTGTGTGTTTTATTTTTTGAAAAATAATGGATACAAATAATTATTGTCAGTATAATTGATAGGCTTTGTGTCTCTTTTTTAGAAAACTTTTATTTAATAAATATAAATTTCAAAAGTACAGCTTTTGGATTATAATAGCTTTTCCCCCCATAACTATCCTCTCACCCACAAACCATCCCATCTCCTATGCCCTCTCTTATCCCATTCTTCATTAAGATTCAATTTGTAATTATCTCTATATACAGAAGATCAACTCTATACTAAGTAAAGATTTCAACAGTTTGCAGCCACACAGATACACAAAGCATAGAGTACTGTTTAAAGACTAGTTTTACTGTTAATTCTCATAGTACAACATATTAAGGACAGAGATCCTACATGGGGAGTAAATGCACAGTGACTCCTGTTGATTTAACAATTGATTTATGACATCAGTAATCACCCGAGGCTCTTGTCATGAGCTGCCAAGGCTATGGAAGCCTTTTGAGTTCACAAACTCTGACATTATTTAAACAAGGCCATAATCAAAGTGGAAGTTCACTCCTCCCTTCAGAGAAAGGTACCTCCTTCTTTGATGGCCCCTTCTTTCTGCTGGGATCTCACTCACAGAGATCTTTCATTTAGGTTATTTTTTGCCAGAGTGTCTTGGCTTTCCATGCCTGAAATACTCTCATGGGCTTTTTGGCCAGATCTGAATGCCTTTAGGGCTGATTCTGAGGCCAGAGTGCTATTTAGGGCATTTGTCATTCTATGAGTCTGCTGTGTATCCCACTTCCCATGTTGGCTCGTTCTCTCCTTATGAATTCTATCAATTATTATTAGCGGACACTGGCCTTATTTATGTGATCCCTTTGACATTTAATCCTATCATTATGATCAGTTATGAACTTAAACTGATCACTTTAACTAGTAAGATGGCATTGGTACCTTCCAACTTAATGGGATTTGGATCCCAAAGCAAGTTTTTAGCTTTACCCTTAGGGGTAAGAATGACTTCTAACAACATAAATTTTTCTGGTATTCAATTTTATGGCATGGAATCAGAGTATCTGCTTTTTTTTTTTTCTGGTTTCTTTGGCTCTATATTTTGTTGTATACATCCATATTGTTAGGTGGATTTGTAGTTCATTTTTTTTTTTTTTTTGAGATTTATTTATTTGAAAAGCAGAGTCACAGAGGGAAAAACAAAGAAAGACCTTCCATCCACTGGTTCACACCCCAAAAGGCTGCAACAGCTGGGGCTGACTAGGCTGAAGCCAGGAGCTTCATCTGGATTGGATTCCACATGGGTGTAGGGGCCCAAGCACTTAGGTCATCCTCTACTGCTTTCTGCGGCCATTAGCAGGGAGTTAAATTGGAAGTGGAGCAGCCAGGACTTGAACTGATGCCCATATGGGATGCTGGTGTTGCAGTACTGGCTTATCCCACTATGCCAGAATGTCAGCCCCAAGCTGTGCATTTTCATTGCTTTATAGTATTTTATTCTGTGAATATGCTTAAATTGATTTATTCATTCAGCTAGAGATAGGAATTTGGGTAGATTTCCTATATTTAGCTATTTGTATAATGCTGTGTATTTTTTTTTGTATATGCCTTTCTGTTGTGCATATGTATGCACTTTTTTTGGGTATATAACTGATTTTTATTGTGGTGGTTGGTTGATCATGATCTCTAGGAAATATTCAGCAGTGTCTGAAGATGTTATTTATTGTCACAGCTTGGGAGGTGTGCTACTGGCATCTAGTCAGGTAGAGGCTTCAGATGCTATTACACAACCTTGTAAATCAGCACAGCCCACCAAAGAAAGATTAAGTTGACCCAAACCTCAATAATGCAAATGCCAGTAAGCTGAGTGTATCTGTCCGTGGGTAGAAGTGCTGCATTACACGTCAAGAATATGTCTGATTTTAGTAAACACAGCCCAAGAGTTCTCTAAAGTACTCAGGCCAGTTCATATTCCTACCAGCAGATTGAGAAGTTCAGGTTAATTAACATCATCTACAACACTTTTATTTTGTTTTACTTCATTTTAGTCACATTGGTAGTTATAGAAACTTCTCAAAGAATAGAGTTTCTGACATTTGGTCTGTAAATATTTAATTTGCATGATGCTTTGATTTTAATAATATGAATTTATTATAGAAAATTTAGGAAAATTTACCATCTCCCCTCATTGCTCATATTTTAGATTTCATTTCCCCCAAATTAGAATTTTATTTATTTAGTGTATTTTTTTAAATTAATTTTTTAAGGAATATAAATTTCATAAGTACAACTCTAGGAATATAGTTATTCTTCCCACCATACCTGCCCTCCCACCTACACTCCCATCCCTCTCCTCTTCCCTCTCCCCTTGCCAGTCCCATTCTCCATTAAGATTCATTTTCAATTCACTTTGTACACAGAAGACCAACTCTATGCTAAGTAAAGATTTCAACAATTTGCACACACACACACACACATACATACAAACACACAAAACTGTTTGAGAACTAGGTTTACAGTTAACTCTCATAATGCAACTCATTGAGGACAGAGGTCCTAAAAATGGGAAGAATTTTATTTAATATACAATTTTATATCCTGTATTATTTATTGTAGTTTTATAATTATGTTTTCAAACTGGGGCTCACTTAATCATCAGAGAATTAGGAAATTTCACCCACAAACTGATCTTCCCCATGTAGTTTAGCATTCTACTTTAGCTTAATTTTCTTACACTGTAATATAAAAATTTCTTACCATAGCCCTAATGCTAACAGCTAGTATTAAATTTTACCTTCTCACCCTTTATCTTAACTTTAATATTCAAGTGCTAGTCTCAAACCTTACATTGCAGTTCTAATCTCTAGTTAATGCACTCTCCCCAAATTTAGTTCCTACTGTTTTTAAGAGAAAAATAAACCATTTTTGCTGATTCCAAAATGAAAGTGGCCTCATTGTAGCAATATTAGTATAGCACTTATTTTCTGATTTCAGAGGTATTAATAGTTTCAATGAAGAAAATTTGGAAGATAAAATCTCCTTTGGGTATTGCCTGCATGCCACAACTATTAATTTGTACACATTTATACGTTGTTTTTTTGTGATATAATCACATACATCACTAATATTAAAATGGTAGCTTGATCTGTGCCACAATGGTAATCACTTGTCTGCAATGTTTTATAATAGTTGTATAGTATTTGATGGCCCACCAGAATTTTAAATATTTGTTCAAAAGGAGAATCCTTAATTTAAGAGAGATTTCTTATTATGAAATATCAAACTTCATTTATTAAAATATCATGGACTTGTTAAGTGTATGGGAACTATTACTATACTTTCACTATAAATGAAGTGTAATATTGGACTATAGCTGGTTTTTACTTAAATTTGTTTAAATTATTCCGATTCCTTTTATACTCTATTTTTCTTTGTAGGTACGCAGGCAGCACATGGAAAGATGTCTTCATTTCTTGGTGGAGGAGCTCAAAGTTGTGGATCCATTAGAAGCACAGAATCGTATCTTTTTTGTTTCAGCAAAGGAAGTTCTTAGTGCTAGAAAGCACAAGACACAGGGAATGCCAGAAGGTGGTATGTATTAATTATAGGATTCCTTTTGAAATCCAAGTACACAGGTTATGAAAACAATAGCATTACAGAGATCTGATCTTGCTATATATTCTAGTTCTCCCCTTTTCTACAGTTTTGTTTTCCATGGTTTTAGATACTCACAATCTGAAAATATTACTGGAAAATTCCAAAGTAAGCATGTTTTAAATTGTTTGCTGTTCTAAGTGATGGTACCTTGCCTTGCCTAGGATATAACCATCCATTTGCCTAGTGTTTCCATGTAGTATATGTTACCTACCCATTATTCACTTAGTTATCACTTATAAGGTTGACTGTTATGGTATTGTAGTACTTATGTTCAGGTAACCCTTATTTTATTAATGACCTTGAAACAAGCATAGTGATGCTGGCAATTTGGATATGTGAAAGACAAGCTATAAACTGCTTCCTTTAAGTGAAAAGTTGAACGTTCTTGTCTGAATAAGGGCAGAAAGAAATTTTGTGCAGAGGTTGCTAAGGTCAGTGGTAGAAATGAATCTTCTGTCCTCAAAAGTGTGAACAAGGAAAAAGAAATTCATGTTTAGTCTTGCTGTTGCATTTCTAGCCACAGAAGTTATGGCCACAATTCATGGTAAGTACTTAGTAAAGATGGAGAAAGCATTAAATTAGCTATGTATGAAGAGGGAAAAACACAGTATAGTATATATAGATTTCAGTTCCACCTGTGGTTTCAGGCATGCACTGGGATTCTTGGAACATAACCTCCTTGATAATGGGAATGACTGCTAGGTTTTATAATCTTTGCCTATGTGTTACAGGTGGAGCACTTGCTGAAGGATTTCAGGCAAGACTACAGGAGTTTCAGAATTTTGAACAAATTTTTGAGGTAGGAATTTTGTGATTGCATTGGCTAGTATAAAACTTTGGTATTGGTTGGAGAGTGTAATCTACTTTTTGTTGTTTATCTTTGTCAATAACCTTTGCTGTTATTTAGTGTAGTTATTGAAACAGCTGAAACAAGGAAAGTTTGAAGAAAAGAAGCCCCTGAAAATGGATGATCTGTAAGAATTCAGAAATAGATTGTAATTTCTTTTTCTTTATATACTTATATATAAAAATAAGCTATTTCCAATATTGCCTATGTTTTGCAATGAATGAAATTCTGTGTTTAGCCATTTGGAGCAAGAGCAAATGAGTAATTATTTGAATGGATAATAGAGCAAAATATATATAATTTATAAAGATATGGAACATGGCTGATGTTTTTTGGGTAAATTTTATTATATTCATTAGTTGTTTCTACTTTTGAAGGCTTCACATTCTGTGCAAGACTTCTGAACAAATGAATGAATAGAAAAATAATTAAGATATAGCTCCAGTACTTTAGGAAGCTGGTTGGAAACTGCTGAAGCACATCAGTAGCTACTGTGGACAAGCATTGTAGAGGAAGGATAATTTTTTATAAGTTAAGAATTTGCTGCCTTTTCCTCATCTTTATCTTGGTGAGAGGCAAAAAGACCATTAGGCAGATGAAGGTGAATTGTTTGAGAAAGAAAGCCCACTATGTTGGTAAAAGCTCTCTAATTGTTAAGAAGCTACTAGAAGGAACATCAAATCTTCTCAAGCTAAAACATAAGATAAGTAAGTAAAGTCTCAGTTATTCAAAGATCATTGTTTTTCTTTTTTTTTTTTAAAGATTTATTTTATTTATTTGAAAGTCAGAGTTACACAGAGTGTGAATGAAGGAGGGAGAGGCAGAGAGAGAGAGAGGTCTTCCATCTGATGGTTCTCTCCCCAGATGGTCGCAACGGCTGGAGCTACGCCGATCTGGAGCCAGGAGCCAGGAATTTCCTCCAGGTCTCCCACGCGGGTGCAGGGGCCCGAGCACGTAGGCCATCTTCCACTGCTTTCCCAGGCCATAGCAGAGAGCTGGATCAGAAGTGAGCAGAAAGGATTTGAACCGGCGACCATAAGGGATGCCGGCACTGCAGGCGGTGGCTTTACCCATTACGCCACAGTGTCAGCCCCCATTGTTTTTATTTTCTTTCCTTTTTGATTTCACAAGACAGTCGATCCTGTCCTCACTCTTAATCAGTTGTGTAATTCATGGAGAAAATATGGAGATGATCAATTTCTTTATCTTTCCTTATTTATTGGCCTTTAAAAAAGTTTTTTGTAGGTGCTTATCATTGGTTTCTTCTACCAAATCATATACCGTCCTGTTATGCATTTATACCTCTTACATCATACTAGTTCATGGTATACTTTTTGCTTTCTCTGACTATATGAGTGAAAAATTGGGAATGAGAATAATAAAAATGTGCTATAGAGCATTGGTTCCCAGTGGAACCAGTCACATGAGATGCTTTAGAGGATGGCAGGCCACTGACCTATTCCAGAGACTCTGATCCAGGGTTCATTGGGAATCTAAAATTATATATAGAAAAAGTTGGTTGTAAGCAATAGCTCTTACATAAAATCATGGAGAATGTCATACTTTAGAGTTTAAGTAGGGGGGCCAGCGCTGTGGCGTAGCGGGTTAAAGCCCTGGCCTGAAGCACTGGCATCCCATATGGGCACCGGTTCTAGTCCTGGCTGCTCCTCTTCCCATCCAGCTCTCTGCTATGGCCTGCAAAAGCAGTAGAAGATGGCTCAAGTCCTTCAGCCTCTACCCACATGGGAGACCTGGAAGAAGCTCCTGGCTCCTGGCTCCTGGCTTCATATTGGGGCAGCTCTGGCCATTGTGGCCATCTGGGGAGTGAACCAGCAGATGGAAGACCTCTCTCTGTCTCTACCTCTCTCTGTAACAAATAAATAAAATAAATCTTAAAATAGGAATGTGGCATACCTAAAATAGAATCAACTAAAATTATTTGAATTTGTATAAAGAAATGTGAGCTAGACAAAAAAATTTTTTGTCTGGATCTATTATAAAGGATCAAAGCATTTTCTGAAGAATTATAATGACAACTTTTGGCAGCTTTTTCCCAAAGCTAAGATTTGTCACTTTTTAAATCGGGTTTAGTAATTGATGATTTCTTAGAAATTGATGACTTTCTGGGACTTTATGGTTTGGTACGTTTATAATATAGATATCTTGTGTCCTTTCCAACATACTTATGTTTACATATTAATTTTAATTGAATCTGCTAGTGATTTAATTGCTTTATCTTGTAAAGAAACTGTCTCCTGTCCTTAGTTAATTTATTAATTGATAAATACTAATTTTTTGGGTTTTAAGCATTAAGTGAGCATTCATCTTTTTTTTTTTTTTTTTTTTTTGACAGGCAGAGTGGACAGTGAGAGAGAGAGACAGAAAGAGAAAGGTCTTCCTTTGCTGTTGGTTAACCCTCCAATGGCCGCCATGGCCGGCGCTCTGCGGCCAGCGCACCGCGCTGATCCAATGGCAGGAGCCAGGTGCTTCTCCTGGCCATTGGAGGGTGAACCAACGGCAAAGGAAGACCTTTCTCTCTGTCTCTCTCTCTCACTGTCCACTCTGCAAGTATGTTTACCTCTCCCACCAGAGGGAGAGGTAAACAAATAAGGCTGAATATTAACATGTGGTATTTTGAGATAAAAGCTATATTGATATTCTTTCTAGTCACTTTAAGGTACATTGAAATAATACATGGGAACCAGTGTTTGTGGGGTCTGTTGTCAAGGCGACTTGACAAGTTTGTTGGTTATGTTTTTAAATTGCTCTTAAAAATATTAATATTTACAAATACATAACTGTGATTATCAGCTCCTTTAGATATTATTGGGAAATCAAAACTCTTAATTAGGATGTGGATAAATCTTTAATAAGTTTTATAGTAGCCTACAGGACACCCTGACAAGATGGCATTTAAATTAGTTTAATATTGGCCGGCACTGCGGCTCACTAGGCTAATCCTCCACCTGCGGCGCCAGCACACAGGGTTCTAGTCCCGGTCGGGGCACCGGATTCTGTCCCGGTTGGTTGCCCCTCTTCCAGTCCAGCTCTCTGCTGTGGCCCGGGAGTGCAGTGGAGGATGGCCCAAGTGCTTGGGCCCTGCACCTGCATGGGAGACCAGGAGAAGTACCTGGCTCCTGGCTTCGGATCAGTGCCATGCATCGGCAGCAGCGGCCATTGGAGGGTGAACCAACGGCCAAAGGAAGACCTTTCTTTCTGTCTCTCTCACTGTTCACTCTGCCTGTCAAAAAAATTAGTTTAATATTTTAAATTTCTTGGAAATGTAGGGTTCCTGATGAAATATGTCTGGGAACTGCTGCACACAGTGTATGCATGCTCTCTGTGGAGATCATTGGTGTATTAATAAGGACACTGAGAAATAACCCAGAAAACAAACTATTTAGATTAGACTTACTCTCAGTACTGTATTTGAGAATAGAGTGTTTCTTTTTCAGGATGCTTCTTAATACTCTGCAGACCAATGGGAAAACTTGTGTGGGATACTTAAAAGAAGTATTAGAAGAAGATTCTATTTTATTCTCTATATTTATTCATCATCATCTTTTTTTGAATGAGAAATGACTTATATTGCCTGATGACTACTGGAGATCTTTTCTTTTCTGTCCAGTCTAGCTCTAACATTGTGCTGTTACCTACAGATTTGGATTTTCATTGCTGATATCTAGATCTACTTCATCGAGGAACATAGAATTTATTTTGTTTTCTTTTAAAAATATTTTTATGCTTTCATTATAATTTTTTGTTAAGTTTAACTTGGCACATTTATGAGGCAGAGTTATTTAACATAAAACCAAAGGTTTGTTTTGGTCATTAAAAATAAGTAGTTTACAATTTAAATGTCTAGTGTTATGTAATTATTGGTGGTTTTAAAGGAAAAAATATTCAGCAGTGTTTTACATTTCCTTTAGGCACATAGAAAATAGGAATAATGTTACTTCCCACCAGCAGTATTTTTTTTTTTAAGATTTGTGAAAATGGGTGATGTACAGTGATTCATCATGGGCAGAGGGGAAGCTCTGCAGTGCAGGAAAGTGATGGGTTCTGAGCTAACTATAAACTGCAGACTAAATAAATTACCTTTATGTCCCCTGTAGCTGAAGAAATGAATTTGTTTTGTTTTCTGTACTTCAAACAAATTATTGACGAGGGGAGCTAAAATGACAAAAGATTATACTTTTTTTCTGAGTGAAAATCAATTTCTGATTTGAAGGCTAAACATAAGATTTTAAATGATACATTGATTGAATATATAAGATACTAGTGATTTCAGAGTAATGTAGTACTAGATAGAGTATTAGGTGAATACCATTTTGAAGCTTGAGAGATTGGAGAAAGAATAGTCTACAAATTTTATAGTTAATAGTAATTATAATTGTATCCCTAGTCTTTGAAAAGTTTAACACAGAGTATGAACATATTCTACAAAACATCTCTGTAGTTACTAGGGTGTATATGATTTGGATCAAAGATAGAAACCTGTCAAAGACTGTATAGTGTTTCTCTGTAAAAACTTGTAGTTATTTTCAAATGTTTTTTATTTCAGAATTTTATTTTCAATGAAGTAAAAATGAAATGAGGGTAATTGTAATTATAATAATTTTGCAAATTTTTTGATTCATAGTAAAATCTAGTGAGATAAAAATAGTACAAGTTTTCATATGTTGAAAATTGATACAAGAATTGCACAAAATGGATGTACCCATCATGTGTGTAATGCATTCTGATGTATTCACTTTCTTTTAAAACAATGCTGGTTATGAAACACTGATTTGTACAATTAACAGGTTGTGAACTGCAGTTAGCTTAAAAGTGAAACAGATGAGGGCATCATTCAGACTTGTGCACATACCTTAGTTTGAGGACAACAATAAGATTATTTTTAAATAGTTGCAGATATTTTTTCTTTAGATAATTTAAAAGATAATTTAAAATGTTATTTAGATTGTTTACAGTTTTTTTTAGATTGTTCGCTTCTAATCAATATGCATCCTTTTTAGTAACCTGAAATGAATCATATTCATAATTCAATTCAGAACTATATTTAGATTATCTGTTATGAGAAAAATCAAGAGAGGTAGTCTAGAATAAGGTTAAAGATAACCCAGATAAAATTAACAGTTCTATAGGAGAAACTTTTGTTTAACACAAATATTTCTATTTGTTTTTTTTAATGTTGTAGTCAAACCATTGCACATTACTGTGTAAGAATACACAAAGATATGAACTTGCTGTTAGTTTTTTTTTACTTTTGAATCATTGTAATTCTTTTAACTTTTATAACTTTAAGTTGTTTTTGTCATAAATTTATTTTCTGTCCTTGCTTCAGTTTTAAGTTAACAAACAGCAAGTTTTTGTGTTTAAATTCCTGAAAACGTTGGGATGGAATTACAGTAATGTGTTATGGCTTGGGCCCCTCGCAGGAGTGTATCTCGCAGTCAGCAGTGAAAACAAAGTTTGAACAGCACACTATCAGAGCTAAACAGATACTAGATACTGTGAAAAACATATTGGATTCAATAAACGTGGCAGCAGCAGAGAAAAGGTATGAGTTCATCTTATTGAAACATAAAAATGTTAGCTTTTTTGTGTCAGACTTGTTAAAACTAAGATTTTTCATACTAAAGTCAATAATGTGGATTTTAGTGATGCTTATTTGTTTTTAAATGAGTATTTGAAAGTATAAATGTTAATTTTGTAGTCTTGAACATATCATTTATGTTCCTTGGAGCTCAATATTGCCGTGTATGAATTGTGATCTGAAAATGTTTAGTGGCTTTCAAATGTCTTTAAAGCAGTGGAAGAACCATTTTCTTTCAAGTGGAACTTTATGAAGAAATCCAGAACATGCATTCAGCCATGACTCATTCTTTTATATATTAATACACCAATAACCTTGAAATTATTCTTTTATGCCAGTTGTGTGTTTTGTTTATCAGCTGGTGAAAAAATAAGGTAATAGTACCTGCCAACCAAAAAGTTGATCTGGTAAGCAGTACCCTTATATGTCATACTGTACTGCATTATTTTATTCCATTTGTTGTCTTATAAAATTGGAAATTAATACATCAAAGTACCAACATTATCTCAATGAAAAATATAGTTCTCACAGACTTTGTATACTTGAAGTGAAGATCAGGATGTTATTGGATATGACAGAAGTACTGATGATAAATCTCAATTGGATAATTAGTGGGTGGGCTTAATCTAGTTAAAGGAAACAAAGCATCCAATATTAAAGTTCAAAATGAATTTATGCTTGCTGGGAACAATATTCCCCTCATGCCCCACATATTACATGATTTGGATACTTTGCATTATGTGCAAAAGTAGAAAACTGTCCACGTGTAAAACAGAAGGTAAGAACCTTGAGTCTGATCTCAGCCCCTGTACAGCCTCTGTATAATGAGGTTGTGTTGCTATAGGGTCCCTGCTAGCTCAGTTGCTTTATTTTAGTGCCCAAAATTTGGATTGGCCTTATTTTTAAAAATATAGCACACTGTAGTTGGGTTTTTGGCCTAGTGCTTAAGATGTCCGTGTCTCATACTAGGTTTGATGCCTGGCTCTTCTCCTGAGGCCAGCTTGCTGTTAATGCAGACTCTGGGAGGCAGTAATGATGACTTAAGTGATTGGGTTCTTGCCATCCATGTGAGAAACTGGATTGAGTTGTGGCTCCTAGCTTTGGCCCCAGCAGGGTGGTGTTGTGGGCATTTGGAAGTAAACCAGTGAATGGGAGCATTCTGTTTCTGAAATAAGTAAATGGAAAAACTATATGTGTATTTATCTATTGAAGTAACTATGGCACAAAGGAGATATATTTGAATATAGTTTGTGTAATCATAGAGACTCTTTACACTAAAAATCGTACTAAAGGGATCTCAGGTTTTTCTTTTCCTATTTCTTCCTGGGATCAACAAACTTTCTGTAAAAGACCAATTTGTAAATTTTCTTGGCTTTGTGGGTCATATTGTCTTGCAACTATTATTTCTATAGTTTTAGAGCAAAAACAGCCCTAGACAGATAATAAAAGAATGCTTGTGGCTGTGTTCCAAGAAAACTTTAACAAAAATGGAAGCTGGCTGAATTTGGCTTGCCACAGTGCCATTTGCTGCTGACCCTTATTTAACTAAAATTGAATTCTTTTAGATATTTAAGTATAGATTTCTTTTTTCTTGTGTCATACTAATAGTTGGTTCAAATCATTTAATGTGAATGCTCTTCCTTAATTGTTTTGGGATATTAATATACCCTGAATATTGATTACTCTTCATACCATAATAGAGTTTATTCAATGGAAGAGAGGGAAGATCAAATTGATAGACTGGACTTTATAAGAAACCAGATGAATCTTTTGACATTGGATGTTAAGAAAAAAATTAAGGAGGTTACTGAGGAGGTTGCAAATAAAGTGAGTAACAATAATTTCATGCTTAATATATCTGAAAATGCAACATGTTTTGATAATGTTTTCCCTTAAAAGGAATATTTTAAGTGTTTTTTTTTTGTATTTTCAGGTTTCATGTGCAATGACAGATGAAATCTGTCGACTATCTGTTTTGGTTGATGAATTTTGTTCTGAGTTTCATCCTACTCCAAGTGTATTGAAAGTATATAAAAGTGTAAGTTTAAGGTGTAGTTAAATTTTCTGAGGGGTGGGCATTGTGGCTCAGCTGGTTAAGTTATTGTTTTTAAAATTGCCTGCATCCCATTATTGGGGTGCCTGTTTAAGTCCTTGTTGCTCCACTTTTTTTTGTTTAAATTTATTTATTTATTGGAAAGGCAGAATTACAGAGAGAGAGAGAGAGAGAGAGAGAGAGAGAGAGAGCGAGCACCCACTGGTTCACTCCCCAAATGGCCTCAATGGCTAGAGCTGGGCCATTCTGAAGCCAGGAGCCAGGAGCTTCTTCTGGATCTCCTACATGGGTGCAGGAGCCCAAGCACTTTTACCATTCTCCACTGCTTTCCCAGGCACATTAGCAGGGAGCTGGGTTGGAAGTGGAGCAGTCAGAACTCAAACCGGCACCTAAATGGGGTGCTGGCACCACAGGCAGCAGCTTCACCCACTATACCACAGCACCAGCCCCGCTGCCCCACTTTTCATCCAGCTTCCTGCTCATGCATCCTGGGAGGCAGTAGATGATGGCTGCAGTGCATGGGCCCCTGACACCCACGTGGGAGACAGGGAGAAAATTCTGGACTTAGCTGTGGTTGTAGGCATTTGGGGGAGTAAACCAGCCGATGGAAAATTTATTATTTCTCTCCACCTCTTTCTGTTAGTTTTCATTTCAAGTAGATAAGAATAAATACTAAAAAAAATATTCTGAGACAGCTCCCTCATCTTATTCCATACTCTTACTTGTTTAGTGCCAATTTTTTTGCTTAGTGCCATTTTAATATCTATGTGGCAATCAGTACACAACCTGTTACTCTCTCTTGTACTTGGCAATAAATGTAAATTTACCTTGTAGATAAAAACTATACAAGTTTTCCCTGTAACAATGAGGTTAACATCATTTTAGTGCTTATTATGTTTTAAATGTCTTTATAAAATATATTTTCTGGGGCTGGAGTTGTGTAGCTGGTTAAGTGACCACCAGCGATACTGATATCCCGTATGGGCACCAGTTCATATACTGGCTGCTCTACTTCTGATCTAGCACCCTGCTAATGGTCTGGAAAAAGCAGCTGAAGATGGCCCAAGTGTTAGGGCCACTACCACCCATGTGAAAGACCCCAATGAATCTCCTGGCTCCTGCCTTTAGCTTGGCCCAGCCCTAGCCATTGCAGCCATCCAGGGCATGAATCAGTGCATGAATGATCTTTCTATGTCTCTCCCTCTCTCTCTCTCTCTCTCTCTGTAACTCTGACTTTCAGATAAATAAATAAATCTTAAAAAAAAAAAAAAAAAACTGACACTTTCTGGCAAAGAAATAATGTAGACATTTACTATTTTCAACAGGAGTTAAATAAACACATAGAAGATGGTATGGGAAGAAATTTGGCTGATCGGTGCACCAATGAAGTGAATGCTTCAATGCTTCAATCCCAGCAAGAAATTATTGGTACTATTTATGTCTACATGTCATGAGGTGGTGGTGGTCTACTTTCCTTTGGCTGTTTCATAGAAGGTGGAACATTTTCTTTTGTTTGTTAAAGTAAATGTCACTTTGTTTTCTCTAGAAAATTTGAAACCTTTGCTTCCAGCTGGTATACAGAGTAAACTACATACACTGATCCCATGCAAGAAATTTGATCTCAGCTATGACCTGAATTGCCACAAGTTATGTTCCGATTTTCAAGAGGATATTGTATTTCGTTTTTCTCTGGGCTGGGCTTCCCTTGTACATCGATTCTTGGGCCCTACAAACGCTCAGAGGGTGCTCCTAGGATTATCAGAGCCTATCTTTCAGGTATGTATCTTGATTCTACCAGTTAGAACTCTCTATTTTTTGCTTTTGTGATTTCTCAAAACTAGGTTTACCAAATCTGCATATTTATTTGTAAGCTGATACCTATCTCCTAGAGCCATCTGGGTTGGGTGTACCAGGCAAAATGGAAAGGCAGTCTGAAAGTTTTCATCCAGTACAAAGTGGTTCTACATTCATTTTCGAAACTGTATTTTCCTAAAAAGGTTTTGCTATCAGACTTCAAATAACTTGGAATAAATGTGGGCATTTTAAAAGGAAAATTTAAAATTTATCAATAAATTCAGTACTTTTCCCGAAAATGTATAGAATAAAAAGACCACCACAATTTGGTGTTGGAACATTTCTGCAGCCCCACCACTAATCTGCCTTCTGTTAATATGGATTTGCCTTAAAAAAAAAAAAAGTTTATTTATTTATTTATTTGAAAACGGAGAGTTGGGAGTGAGTGAGTGAGTGAGTGAGTGAGTGCTTCTTTCTACTGGTTCACTCTCCAAATGACTGTAATGGCCAGGGCTTGGCCAGGCTGAAGCCAGGAGTTTCATTTGAGTCTCTCACATGAGAGAGCCCAAGTATTTGGGCCACCTTCCACTGCTTTCCCAGGGAGCTAGATCGGAAGTGGAGCTTCTGGACATGAATTGGCACTCATAGTGAATGGTGACCTTGCAGGCAGCGCTTAACCTGGTACACCACAACGCCAGCCCTGGGATTTGCCCTTTCTGAAAATTTCCTGTAAATCGGATCATACAAAAACCATGGCCTTATATGGTTGATTTCTTTCACTTAGCATGTTTTCAAAGTTTATCTTTATAGTATTAGTGTTGAGTGTTGTTTGGATATTTCATTCCTTATTATGGCCAAGTAGTATTTCTTTATTTAAAAAACACATCCATTCATCAGTTGGTGGCAATTTGTTTTCACTTATGAATAATGCTGCTGTGAACATTTGTGTGTCTGTTTTTATGTATCTTATGTGTTTTGAAGACATATATTCTGGATAGAGCTCCTTTATCAGATATGTGATTTCTAAATACATTTTTGAGTCTGGCTTGTCTTTCAGTTTTCTTTTGTGTAATTTGAAATTTAAAAGGTTTTTGTTCTTAAGTCTTATTATGTTAATGAATTGTGCTTTTGATATAATTTATTTTATTTTTAACAGTTTATTTATTTGAAAGTCAGAGTTACAGAGAGGCAACGGCAGAGGGAGAGGGAGAAAGCGAGGGAGAGTAAGGGGGAGGGAGAGGGAGAGGTTTTCCATCGGTTGGTTCACTCCCCAGATGGCCACAGCAGCCAGAACTGTGCCTATAAAAAGCCAGGAGCTTCCTCCTGATCTCCCACATGGCTGCAGGGGCCCAAGGGCTTGGGCCAGCCTCTGCTGCCCTCCCAGGCTACAACAGACTTCTGGATCAGAAGTGCAGCAGCCGGGACTCGAACTGGCGCCCATATTGGATGCCGGCGCTGCAGACCGGGACTTTAACCCGCTGTGCCCCAACACTGGCCCCTGATACAATACTTTTAAAAAATAGTTTTAATTCCTTTTGAGAGCTGAGGTTTCAGTTACCAGTGGAACCCATTATGTATTATGAAAATTATTATTGGCTGGTGCCGCGGCTCAATAGGCTAATCCTCCGCCTGCACCGCCAGCACACCGGGTTCTAGTCTCGGTCGGGGCACTGGAATCTGTCCCAGTTGCCCCTCTTCCAGTCCAGCCCGGGAGTGCAGTGGAGGATGGCCCAAGTGCTTGGGCCCTGCACCCGCATGGGAGACCAGGAGAAGCACCTGCTTCGGATCAGCACGGTGTGCTGGCCACAGCAGCCATTGGATGGTGAACCAACGGCAAAGGAAGACCTTTCTCTGTCTCTCTCACTGTCCACTCTGCCTGTCCAAAAAAAAAAAAAAAAAAAATTATTGTTAACAGTATCATTGGTCCAGTGTTACAGAAAATAATTTTTAGTATAGTTTTTTTTCTTAGTATATTATGATGTACTCATTATTTGGGAACATTTTATTCTGTAGATTTACTTTAGGAAATTAAATAATTTTACAGATATAAGTATTTCACATAAAGTTGTGTAATTTTTTTTCCTGCAAATTTATCAGCTTCCTAGATCTTTGGCTTCTACTCCCACTGCTCCTGCCAATCCAGGAATGCCAGATAATGCATCACAGGAAGAACTCATGGTTACCTTAATAACAGGATTAGCTTCTCTAACATCCAGAACTTCTATGGGCATTATTGTTGTTGGAGGAGTGGTAAGAAACATTACTTTTACTACAATTAAAATTTAAATTTTTGTAAAGCTGCTTGTTAGATCAGTTATTTTTATTTCTAGGATCTATAAAATGATAGGAAAATTTGTTAAAAGTAATGAATTAAAAAACTTCGAGAAGTCTAATTTTAAATTTTATGTATCTGTATCCATCTGTATATCTATATGCACAAATACATCTTTTGAAATACCACCAACTATCTAATCTTTAAAATAATGCTTCCTAATTATTTTCACATATTTGTACACTGGAGTGACATAAAAGGTCTAAGTGTTCTGTCTGGTATTTTCTGAATGTTGAGGGGATCTGTCTTGAAGCATTATTTATTAATGCATTTTTTTTTTTTAATTTATTTGAAAGGCAGGGAAACAGAATTCTTCCATCCAGCGGCTCACTTCCCAGTGCCTGAAACAACCTGGGCTGGACTAGGTCATAAAACAAGCACCCAGAACTCAAGCCTAGTCTCCCATGTGGTGGCAGGGACCCAAATACTTGTGCAGTCACCAATGCATCCCAGGATGCACATCCGCAAGAAGCTGTAATGGAGAGCACATCCAGGAATAGAACCTGGGCACTCTGATATGGGATGCAGGCAACTCTCGTATTTCTTAGTTTAAAATCATTCACCTAAAACAAATTTTTTTTTTTTTTTTTTTTTTAAGATACATGAAATCAACTTAACAAATCTGGCAGGTTATAAAAGTTCTTGCCTGATATTTATGTGTGATCCCCTTTCAGCTGATAGAATTTTCATTAACTTCAGATTTTTTTATGGACAAAGAATATATTTCAGAAAATGGATCTGAAAGATGTATCAGGAGGGGCAAGCATTTGGTGCATCTAGAATTAATATGCACTTAGGAATCCCACATCCCAAATCACGGAGCCTGGTTTGAGTCCTGGCTACCCTGCTTCCTATCCAGCTTCCTGCTAATGCACCTGGGAAGGAAGCAGATGGCCTGAGTACTTGGGGCCCTGCTACCCATGTGGGAGAACAAAATGGCATTCCTGGCCTCTGGCTTTGGACTGGTCCAGACCTAGCTGTTATGGCCATTTGGGGATTGAACCAATGGATGAAAGATACCTCTCTGCCCTCACCCCTCCATCTCAATCCCTGGTTGCTCTGCTTTTTCAAATAAGTAAATATACAATTTCTTTTAAATTGAAGATTAGCAGTCAATTTTAATATTGACCACGGCCCAAGCACTTGTGCCATCTTCTGCTGCTGCTTTCCCAGGCACATTAGCAGAGTGCTGGGTTGGAAGTGGAACAGCTGGGACTTGAACCAGTGCTCATAGGGAATGCTAATGTGGCAGGTGGCAGCTTACTACTGATCTACAACACTGGCCTGCTACAATACCTTTTAATAATACTCCTAAGTGTTGTTTTGTTTTTTGTTTTTTGTTTTTTGTTTCATTCTCATTGTAAGCTATGACTTTATCTTACAGATTTGGAAAACTATAGGCTGGAAACTCGTATCTATTTCATTAAGTATGTATGGAGCTTTGTATCTTTATGAAAGGCTGACCTGGACAACCCGTGCCAAGGAGAGAGCCTTTAAACAGCAGTTTGTGAACTACGCAACTGAAAAACTGCAGATGATTGTTAGCTTCACGAGTGCAAACTGCAGCCACCAGGTGCAACAGTAAGTGGAAAGCTTATTATGGAGAATGAAATTTATTTTCACTGTTGCAGTCCCAGTTTATAAGTTTAAAAGTATTCTTAGATCTCAGGAGAATTACATAATAAATGCCTAGTTTTACTCAGTCTCTACTTTCCTACATCTTGAATATTTGTTTCATTGCTTTACTAAAAATATGTAGAGCATCAGTTAAATCAAGGCACATCATTCTGTGTTTGGATGCTGCTGAGAGCAGAACTTAAAAGTTCTGAGAACTCAAGATCATTGCAGTTTAATAGAAGAAATAATTATAGCACAAAGTAAAAGTAGTAATATGAAAAAGATAAAAGTGTTCTAATAATGTGGGACTCTAGAAGTTACTTAAACCAGAAAGGATACTGTTCAAAAAGGTGTTGTAGAGGAGAGGTAGCATATGAGATTGCAAAATAGGAAGATCAGAGAAAATCCTCCAAACCAGAAGCAAGAAGATGGGGGAAAGGAATGTGTATAAGAAGTTGGAGAGAAACATTCAGTATGGCAGATGTGGATATAAAGGCGGGGAGATGATACATCTGATCATAAACCTGACACTAGGGACCATGCCATTGTCTGTGTGTGTAGGAACTGGGAGGTGGACAATTACGAATCTGGGGTGATGAGCCATGAACACTTAACTCTAGAACAGATAACCTTGCAGTGATGTGTATAGAACGGTACAGACTAGGGAAACAGGAATTGCAGAGAGACTGAGCCTCAACTAGAAGAATTAAAGCAACATAGAACAGAAACAAAACACTAATGATTTGAGGAACCTGTTCAGTCATTCACCAGATATTTTCTTGTGTTCCTATTTTATATGATAGGTGTTTTTTATTTGTTTTTTTTGGTGTTTTTTGTTTGTTTTTTTGTTGTTGTTGTTGTTTTTTGTTTTTTTTTTTTTGGACAGGCAGAGTTAGAGAGACAGAGAGAAAGGTCTTCCTTCCGTTGGTTCACCCCCAAAATGGCTGCTAAGGCCGGTGCGCTGTGCCGATCCGAAGCCAGGAGCTTCCTCCTGGTCTCCTATGCGGGCGCAGGGATCCAAGCATTTGGGCCATTCTCCACTGCACTCCCGGGCCACAGCAGAGAGCTGGACTGGAAGAGGAGCAACCGGGACTAGAACCCGGGATGCCGGCGCTGCAGGCAGAGGATTAGCCAAGTGAGCCACGGCACCGGCCTATATGATAGTTTTAAATTTAGCTGATTTATATTAAGATAGATCTTTTCTCTAATGAAAATTCCTTGACTTCCAAAAGATATCAGCTGAGGCTCATATAAGTTAATGTAGCTTTCCACACTTGATCTTAGCCAAAAGGCCGAGAAGCGATAATGTAGCTTTCCATTTGCAATTTGTGTCATCAAACATTTATTGTCTACCATGTAACAGCTGTAATAGGAGTCACAGGAAATATAAAGTTGAAGATAAACTGATCCTTTTTCTTAGAGAACTTTACACTGATAGAAGCAGTCTCAAATAATTAAAATATACTAGCTGAATATTAATATTTAACAAAATATTAAAGGAATGAAACATGCTTCATTTGTCTAACTCTGGGATTTGGTGGAGGGAGAGAATGGAATGTAAAAAGACCATGAGAAAGATGAAGGTACACAGGAGAACAGTTGTAGGGAAGAAAGAATAATTTAACTGGGCTGAAGGTACACACATGCCAGTCATATTTTCGGTTGTAAAAAATGTCACGTAATGTTTGCCAAAGCTGATGTTGAAGCCAGCAGTCAAATTAAATGTAACTGTTAGTATTTTTGTCAGTAAAGGTCATTATTAAATTTTTTTTCTGTGCTGTTCTTGGCAATTTATTGTTTTATTGTTATACTTTTGAAGAAATATGCCCATCTGCATTTTTATGCATTATCCATGTTCAAAACCATACAGCAGAGGTAATAATACCCTCTTGAACATCTGTCTTGAGGCTACACAAAATTAAGCATACAGTCAATAAATAAACGAGTGCTATACCTTCTATCATACCACTACTCTTAGAAGTCTTTTATTCCTTATTATTTACATATTTATAAAAACTGTGTTCTCTTTAATATAAGGTTTACAATAAGGCTCATTCATTTTAGCAGATATTCATGATTGCTAATCAATTTTATTTTAAGAGAAATGGCTACCACTTTTGCTCGCCTGTGCCAACAAGTTGATATCACTCAAAGACATCTGGAAGAAGAAATTGCTAGGTTATCCAAAGAAATAGATCAGCTGGAGAAAATACAAAACAATTCAAAGCTTTTAAGGTATTCAATTTTTTTTTCTAATATAAAGATTTACTTACTGGTCTCATAACCAAAATATAAGTATGTAAGATCACAAATGAATTTGGATTAAAACTTAGCATTCATTGTTGGTTTAAATTACAATCTTCCAAATTTAACTCAGTATGTTTTGCAGTTTCAGTGGCATCTAATTTCAACAAGAGAACAAATACAAATGTAAATGAATTTTCATAGCTCTAAACTTCCTTTTGTTAAGGCTGTGTTAGTTCCCTTTCAGAACAGAGAATCTATTTAAAGTGAGTTTTAGGGCCTATATGTCCAACACCTATAACTTTTGTCATTATGGGATTGTTGAGTGTACTTAAATTTGAAGCAGTAAAAGTACACAAGATTTCCTAATTAAATGTGGATTTCTGGCTTACTATCATTTATTAAGGATCCTTTGGGGTCTAATATAATGGAGTGGGGGCAATAAGACTGGAAGTGTCCCCCTCAGGTCTTTACTTGGCAGTTCTCTCAGCTTTCTGGTTTGCCAGCATCTCTGGGAGAATTGTTAAGAATCACTTAATCTCTGCTGTTAGGTCCACAGCACATTCTACCTGAAATTGCCCATGTAAGAGCAGCTTAGTAGTCACTATCTATCCACATCACCCAAGTGAATTTTATGAATTTCATTGTTCATATTTTAAGTTAGATAAATACACTTTTCAAACTTGATAACTATATCCAAATTTTTTTTGGTCTTAGGTAAGTTTTTAAATGTTTTATTTGGTTATAAAAATGATAAGACAGATTATTGGGAAGTATTCTGATTTTGGCAGAACTGACTTGTATAAGCATGAATGGTTTGAATATTCTAAATCTAATTAATCATCTTTCTAGTAGGAAACATTTTAAAACAACTACTATAATATTTGAATCTCCATTGTTATAGATTAGGCAGTCACTTGGATAGAATTTAACATGCCTAATGCTTCAGGAGAGTTGCCTGCAGAAATATAGAAAGTGGGCTTAATGTCATATACACATTTAATTTGCATAACCTCAACCACATGTGCACAGTAATGAGACAAAATAAGACCCCCTTGTCGACATAGTATGAAAGAATGAGATACAAATTGGTATTATTCTGTCAGTTTTATTTCCAGTTCTCCTTTTTAAAAAAATATTTATTTATTTGAAAGAGTTACATAAAGGAAGAGACAGACTTTTTTAAATGATTTATTTGAAATTGTTAGAGAGGGAGAGACAGAGGAGAGCGATCTTCCATCCACTGGTTCACTCCCCAGATGGCCCCAACGACCAGGGCTGGGCCAGGCCAAAGCTAGGAGCTTCATCGGAGGTCTCCTACATGGGTGCAAGGGCCCCAAGCAATTGGGCCATTCTCTGCTGCTTCCCCAGACACATTAACAGGGAGCTGGATCAGAAATGGAGCAGCCAGGACTTGAACCCCTGCCTATATGGGATGCCAGCATTGCAGATGGTGGCTTAACCCATTGCACCACAGTGCTGACTAGAGAGAGACTTCTTCCATCCACTAGTTCACTCCCCAAATGGCTGCAAAGGCCAGGGCCAAAGTCAGGAGCCTGGAGCTTCTTCCAGGTCTCCACATGAGTACCGGAGCCTAAGGACTTGGGCCATTCTCTGCTGCTTTTCCAGGCACATTAGCAAGGAGCTGGATTGGAAGTGGAGCAGCTGGGTCTTGAACTAGCACACATATGGGATGCTGGTGTCACAGGTGTTGGCTTTACTTGCTACACCATAATTCAAGTCGCTCCATTTCTCCTTTCTTGTGGACATTTGACTGCATTAATACATATGAGTGTACTGTTTTGTTTTGTTTTTGTTTTTTTCAAAGATTATTTATTTGAAAGGCAGAGTTATGGAGAGGCAAAGATAGAGTGATCTTCATCTGCTGGTTCATACCCCAGATGGCTGCAACAGGCCTCAACAAGCTGCAATGACCAGGGCTAGGACAAGCAGAAGCCAGGAACTTGATCTGGGCCTCTTAAGTGGGTTAGGGGGCCAAGGACTGGGGCGATCCTCTGCTGCTTTCCTAGTGCATTAGAAGGAAGCTCAATCAGAAGTGGAGCAGCTGAGACACAAACTGACACCCACGTGGGATGCCAGCATTGTACGTGGTGGCTTAACCTGTTACATTGCAACATTGGCCCCACTTCTAGTGTTTTAAAGAACTGTATATTATCTCATCCCCTTTGACATCTACCAGCCACTTTGCATATACATAAAACCATTTATTCTCTATACTTTACTTAATGGCAATTTTCAAAGATAATCATGATTGTGTGTGAACTTCTATGCTAGGTGATGATTCTACTGTCTATTACACTTTCAATCTTATTAAAGTTTGTAACTTTTATTTTGGTGTAATTACTTTTAGGTCTGTGTTTACTGTAAAGCTACAATAGTACATATAATGAATACTTTAAAAAGGATTGGTAATAGATGAGTTTGAGTTCAGATAAATGTACCAGTAGCTAGCTAGTGAGTTTTTTTTTTATAGTGGAAGAAATGCATTTTTTTCATTGACCTTTATGATAACTAGATTGTTTCTTTCTTTTTTTTTTTTCAATTAGAAATAAAGCTGTTCAACTTGAAAATGAGCTGGAGAATTTTACTAAGCAGTTTCTGCATTCAAGCAATGAAGAAAAATCTTAACAGAGATTGCTTTGGTGTGACCATCATAGGAAATGGAACTTGGAAGAGTGGGACAGTTATTTTTATGAAATAATTGTAAACATGAATTATACTAATTGTACCTAAATAGCAAATCCCTGCTAGGTTCTGATAATGATCTATTTAGGGTATTTGCATTTCTGAAGAGTGTTGGGACAAGTCTTCAGTTTTAATTTGGGTATAGAAAAGGCTAAATCATTTTTGTTAAAATAATAAACCTTTTAAGATCAACAGAACCACCTGTGTGACCCCTGAGGGGTGGGGCCTTGAGCTCTCAATTAGGGCTTGCTTTGTTTTTGGTTCTGAAAAACTCTGCTTCCTGGCATCCAGGAGTTAGAGTATGACCCTTTCAGCTTTCTCAAAACTGGTTTTTGATGCTGTCTTTAATGGAAATAGTCACTTTCTTGTTTTGTTTTATAAACTGCATTGCTCTGTGAAGGAGTGTGGGATGTTCTTGATTGTATCATTTTTGCAAGTTACAATCCCTTCTGTTTTGGCAGGTATGTAAACCACTAATAAATGCTGTTTTTATTCCCTTTAAGCCTGGTGTAAAACAGTATAAAGGTTCATTATTATAGTCACTTATAAAAATATTTGTATCTAAATAATTTTTGACCTGTTTTTGAAGAAATATTCTCAGTTTTGCTCCAGTTACGCTTCCTGTAAGGAGAGCTTTTCTATCTCAGATTTAGGAGTGAAGTCTGAAATGATAGAAATAGCCAAAGATACAGGAGGTCTGAGTTTTGGATAACAACAGTGATGGTTAAAAGTTATTCTTCAGCAGGCATTTGCTGAATTGTACTCCATTTTAGGTCTTTAATTGTATGAATTTATCAGGGCTCCATTAAATTGTTACTGTATTTTTTACCTCAATGAAAAGTTTGTGAGTTCAAGTATCCTATTTGCTTCTGTATTAAAATATATTGAACTTGAATGGAAATACTGAAAAAAAAAAAAAAAAAAGACATTCTAGCCCCTTGTTGCACAAAATACAGGACCACCAGATCAGCATCACCCAGACACTTGTTAGAAATGCATAGTACATTGGCTGGCGCTGATCTCACTAAGCTAATCCTCCCCTTGTGGCGCCGGCACACCGGGTTCTAGTCCCGGTCGGGGCACCGGTTCTGTCCGGTTGCCCTCTTCCAGGCCAGCTCTCTGCTGTGGCCTGGGAAGGTAGTGGAGGATAGCCCAAGTCCTTGGGCCCTGCACCCGCATGGATGACCAGGAGGAAGCACCTGACTCCTGGCTTCAGATTGGCACAGTGCGCTGGCTGTAACAGTCATCTGAGAGGTGAACCAATGGAAGGAAGACCTTTCTCTAACTCTGTCAAAAAAAAAATTTAAAAAAAAAAAATGCATAGTACATTTGGCCAAGTACAGTTTATGCTTCCTTGTTATGGGAGGATAAAATTTCAGGCTTTTAAAGATACTCAATACTTCCTTTTCTGTGCCTTTTAAGGTTCTTGGATGCTAGTTAAGTCTTTTTAGAACAGGTGCAACTTTTATTTTTAAAGATATTTTAAGGAGAAAATAACTTAGGCCACAAAAGTCTTTCAAAAATAACTGTTTTTATGCAAATCATATTAGGAAGCAGTATACAAATTCAACTACAACTGGTTATTTTTAGCTTTTTTTTGCTCATATAGGTCACCAACAAGTGAGATTAGATGACAACGGCAACATGAAAAACAATGTCTAAGACTGGGAATTACTAATTTACGTTACAAATTCAAGACCTTAACCTCTTTACAAATGTGAACTTTGAAGTCACAGAGTGGTCTGGTGTCACATTAGTACAGTGCAGTAGTTCTCAAAGTTTGGTCTCTGGGTCATGAGTATCACTTTCTAAGAAGTGTAGGTTCTTGGGTATCAGCCCTGACTTACAGTCTCAGAGACGCTAAACTAATGTTTTAAGAAGCTTTCCAGCTAATCTGATTCATGCTAAAATTCGTAAATCACTGGTATGGTGACTCTGGTATAGTACATTTTCCATCACTAGTGTGAATGTCATTCCATCTGATCAAGTTTGAAAATGTATGAATGTTGGAAATGGAACACTAAAATAATGAAACCCAATTCTTCTGGCAGGATTTAAATGCATCTGTGAGCAGGCCAATAGAAATTATGTAATTGCAACTGACATAGTTCTGCACATATACTTGATTGTTTACTATATTTGTTTGCAGGGTTATTTATACACTTTGTATAATCTTTATACAGAACTTTTTTATAAGTATGCAAGGTGAAAATAAAAACCTATTTGCCTAATAGTTGATAAATGTAGCATTTATACTAGTATTAATAGTGAGTTTTAATCTTTCTTAATCATTTTTAGGGTAGGCATATAAGCTATGTTGAGTGGACTGGCTCATTTGATTGTGCTACTGTTGTGTAGTTCTGGTCATGTACTTAAAGGGTAAGTAAAAGTTTCATACACCAATCCTTAGTTTGTAAACAGGCTACCATTGGAGGAACATATTTTTGAGAGTATATAACTAGTATTCTTCCTTGGAAAAATAGAACATTATCTAAAATGCCTCATTCATTCTTCCCCAAGATTATGATAAAAGAACATAAGAATGTTTTAGCAATACCATAAGCAGAATTGGCTATAAGAGAGCTCTATAAGGGAATAAAGATTTTTGCTTTTTATGAAAATCAGGCTTTATATTAATAAGCTAGAAGGGCAGGTGTTTGGAACAGCAAGTATGATGCTGCTTTGGATGCCTGCATCCCATATCAGAGTGCCAGGTTCAAGTCCCAGCTCTACTTCCATCTTCCTGCTAATATGCACCCTGGGAGACAGCAAGTGATGGCTCAAGTACTTAGGTCCCTGCCACCCATGTATGAGACATGGATTGAGTTCCCAGCTCCTGGCTTTGGCCTGGCCCACCCTGGCTGTGGTAGAAATTTGAGGAGTGAACTAGTGAATGGAAGATCTCTTTCAAATAGAATAAAAAATAAAAATAAGCTAGAAGTTTACAGTCTGAAAGGATGGGTTAGTAGTACTCCAAGCTGTTCTTTGCTTATACAGCCTATTCATTTTTTATGGTGGAAAAAAAAAAAAAACTGTTTAGATAAAGGAATTGGGACAGAGCATGAAATACTGGGCTTGAAGTTTTGTGACTTAATTTTTAAAATAAATCATATTGAAATTGACTTAAAAATGCTACAGTGAAATCAGGTTAAAAAGTACTTTATTGATTACAATATCAATTCACAGCAACATTTCACAAAGTAACTGTACAAATGAGTCGATCACTGTGTAAGAAAGATCCAATAACACTGTTAATCATGATCCAAGTCTGTATTGTATAGTTTAAAGCTTTTATAGGAACTTTAAGAGCTTTATCATGTTTACCTTTTCTGTAATTATATAATTGACTTTCATAGTCAGTTGGCCACAAGTGTATTAAAATCATATTCTAGGTGAAAAAAACTTTCAAAATGCTGAAAATGTTAACTTTAATAACACTTAGATGTGGATGCCTTTGGATAAGGTAATGCAACTGTTCAGATGCTTCTTTGAAGAGAGAAAATGACAGGATAAAAGCACCATTGTGTAAGACAGAACAGGCTTTAAATATCTACTAGTATATCATTAAAGTTCTGTTAATTAAAAAATATTTAGTTGAGTACATTTAAAACCAGATAAGCTGCATTATCATAACTATTTTATAAAATCAGTGATTGGATTTAAGAAAACTGACTTTTAGGAAATCTGACATGCAAACATTTGCTAGATACAATATGTACTATCAATCTGACTAATAATTTACTTTTTAAAACAGAATGCTGGCCAGCGCCGCGGCTCACTAGGCTAAGCCTCCGCCTGCGGCGCCAGCCACCCGGGTTCTAGACCCGGTTGGGGTGCTGGTTCTGTCCCGGTTGCTCCTCTTCCAGTCCAACTCTCTGCTGTGGCCGGAGAGGGCAGTGGAGGATGGCCCAAGTCCTTGGGCCCTGCACCCGCATGGGAGACCAGGAGGAAGCACCTGGCTCCTGGCTTCGGGTCGGCACAGTGCGCCGGCCACAGCATGCCGGCAGTAGCGGCCACTTAGGGGGTGAACCAATGGAAAAAGGAAGACCTGTCTCTAACTCTGCCTGTCAAAAAAAAAAAAATCATAAAAAAATGAACAGAATGCTAGCTTAGCCATTCTATAACTCATTTTAATGAGTACCTATTATTGTAACCAGTAGTTTTTAAATGCCGATTTTTTCATTCTGCTACTTTTTCTCATAAGATGGTCTAACCTGTGGCTGGCTCTTAAAAATTCCAGCAGGATGGCTGGCGCCGCGGCTCACTAGGCTAATCCTCCGCCTGCGGTGCCAGCACCCCGGGTTCTAGTCCTGGTTGGGGCGCTGGTTCTGTCCTGGTTGCTCCTCTTCCCTTCCAGCTCTCTGCTGTCGCCCGGGAGTGCAGTGGAGGATGGCCCAAGTGCTTGGGCCCTGCACCCGCATGGGAGACCAGGAGGAAGCACCTGGCTCCTGGCTTCAGATGGGCACAGCACACCGGCCATAGTAGCCATTTGGGGGGTGAACCAACGGAAAGGAGACCTTTCTCTCTGTCTCTCTAACTCTGCCTGTCACCAAAAAAAAAAAAAAAAAAAAAAAAAAAAAAAAAAAAAAAAAAAAAAAATTACAGCAGGAGGTAAGAAATAGTTTAAAATTTTTGCTCTTTACTATGACGAAAGCGAAAGGGGAAGCTGAACAGAGTACTTAACTAAAGGATTTTTAAAAGTCCTGATAGACACTTAAGATCCTAAAAGAACATCTTCACTTTTCTAAAGGGGGTTGTTTAAACAAGTTACACACATAAACAAGCCACAACTATTCAACTGTGTTATAGTTTAAAATCCAAGACATTCACATCATGGCATCAATTTCTCTGAAGTCTCAACTGAAATCAGAATTGTTGTAGAATATTGGAACGCAGTCTTCAGCAAATATGAAAACTGTTTTGTCACTGGAGAAGTCAGGATCCATTTTTCTTAATAGGTGGGTTAACTTTAAAGTTCTTAACATACTCCCAAAGTACTGACATCCAGTATTTCAAGAAATCTAGTTTACTATCCTCATGCAATACTGATCAGTTCATCTGTCTAATCTGAAATGAGAATTACCTACTAGCCCTCTTGCTGTTGAAATACTAGGCCCAGGGCCGGTGCTGTGTTATAGCAGGTAAAGCCATTGCCTGAAGCGCCAGCATCCCAGATGGGCATAGGTTCGAGACCTGGCTGTTCCACTTCCAACCCAGCTCTCTGCTATGGCCTGGGAAAGCAGTGGAAGATGGCCCAAGTCCTTGAGCCCCTGCACCTGTGGGAGACCCGGAAGAAGCTTCTAGCTCCTGGCTTCGATCGGCCCAGGTACGGTTACTGTGGCCATTTGGGGAGTGAACCAGCAGATGGAAGACTCTCTCTGCCTCTCTAACTCTTTCAAATAAATACATAAATCTTAAAAGCAAAGACTTGGGCCTAGTATTTTTTTTATGAAGATGATGTGTGTAATCATAATAAATTTGAGCTAAGGGTGTGCCCTGCATAATGTTGCCAGAAACGAGGCCTGTCTGTCCAAGTGGAGGAATTATCCTTGCTGGTAGCAAGAATTTCTTTCTTGATCAGATTTCTGTGATGATTTACAGGACTGCAAGGGGACCACTTTGTTTTAGAACAGAATGTATGCCTTTATAATACTCTGTCAGATCTCAAGACACTACTCTGATGTGGTATAGAGTCTACAAATCATTTTACTGAGGCATGATATATTTTTTCTTGTAAGGTAAAGAATAATCAATTAGCTGAACTTCAACTGCACACAAATACATTTAGCAACTGGTACTTCTAGCACTAGAAAGCAAAGGTTAGACTAGTAAAGTCATTAATGTAGTGATGAGGTACTTTTTCACTGTTTGCTCATGTGTATAATGATCCACAAGTGTTCCACAGCTGCTACTTTATAGCAGTCTACTACATAATTATAGGAATTGCTTTAAGTTCCTCTCTACATGTCATTTCAAAATATATTAAGATCATAAAATTACTATTTTCTGCATGCCTCTTTGACTATCTTGTTACTACAGTAACTTTTAAATAGAAGAGGTACTCATATCAACTTGTTTTTACACATAACAGAAGTGTTTTTCAACAGGATTTTGAAATTAATCGCTGAAATACACAGCAGGCTTTGACTACCACTGCTTCCTTTACAGAAATGAGTATGTTTCTTTACAATATTCTTGCCTTATCTCAAAGTACTGCTTTTTATGAAGTGATATCGAGTCCAGAAATAAGCATTAATTGCAAAATTCATAGATATCTTAACCACAATATAAATATACATTCACACCTGCCATTTACAGTGTTCTGTTTTGACTTATATCTTCATTTGCCTTTATCCATTTTACTCCCGTATCAACTTGACCTTAATAAAACTTTGATCAACTGTATTGAAGTCAGTCTAAGTATTACCACACTCACAATATAAAGATGAAAACAGATAAAGTTTGGGAGTGTTTAGGTTAGGGTTATGGTGATCAGAAGTTAGCAGACCTATCTGAACATAACTTACACAGTTCATTAAGTTACAAAATGCAATGCATTTCTTGATATCAGAATAACCTATGACTTTATCGTCAAGCAAGGCTAACAGTCTTATATTATTCTTCAGATTTATTTGTAAAAGAACATCCAAGACAAGTATCCTTGTTTAAATTAGGGGACAAGAGTCATTCTAATAATTGACATTATACCACTGACAAGAAATATGGGTACATTCAGATCTAGGCATAGTTTGAAGCAGAACCACTTAGAAACTGGTATTTTGTGCTAATAATTAATAAAGAAGAGTAAAAAGCATAAATGTTTCACTTTAAGAAACTTGAAAACATACTTTTAAATCAATTCAGCTCTTATAGTACATAAACATAAAATTCAGAAACCCACCTTACTAACAATTAAAAGAAATCCGTACCAGCAATTGGTTAGAGTTTTTACTCTTCTTTGAAAAATGTAACACTGTCACACTCTATTTCCTATCTAGATGTGTATTGGTAGAGAACATTAGGAAAGATTCTTCAGATGCAAGGAAAATCCAAATATTTATTAAACTTCTGAAATACAAGTATGCTGTACACGCTTAGTTCTGGAATATGAAATCAGTAGGGAATCCTGCTATGTAGAGGGCTGCTCAAACTGACAACTGATCATAACTAGCCTTCTAAACAAGAATTACTTATCTACTATTAACTATTTATTCACATAGTACATTCTAGTGAAATTTCTTATGTGTGTCTAAAATATCAGAGTGAAATCTTAATTCTCTGGCCTTCGGATTATCTGTCCCCTCATGGGACTGAAAATGAGCACTACTTTAGATGGAGTATGCAAGGGAAGTGCAGGAAACTCAGTACTCTGCAGAGGTTCCTGGCCTGTGGACACTCAAACATTCAACAACCAGGATCTCTTTCTAAAGGAATGTCACAATTCAGGCAGACGGTCTTCAAACTTAGGTACACACATACAGAACATTCCATCTACTACCGTGACATCTTGTATATACAAAGTTAGAAATGTAGTTCTTGAGAAATGAAAACACAATGACAAGCTGCAAAAATGTATACATTCTGTTCTACACAAAACACTCATTACAAGCAAAGATTCCAGAAGGTTAAATTAACTCAAATTAACACACTGGTCCTTTTGATCTTAGCAGATATCTTTGCCTCCCATCCCCCACACTGTTTTTGTACTTTACTGAAAGCTTTTTGTGTGTAATAGTCTCAATAGAAAAATCTTTACCTGCAAATATAAGGTAGGATTTTCTTTTTTCACAGCTATAGGCTGTAGCACTCAATTCTCCAGATATCAGTGGAGAACACAAAATAGGTAAGACCACACTATTAATTCCAGATTCTAAGAAAACTGTCCCAAGAGCCTGTTGCCACAGCCATGCCATCGTCGGTTACACCTAAACAGCTGACACGGTTGTCATGACCAGCAAGCACACCTGAAAAAAGGTATAAAATGTTAGCAACTATAGAGTTTTAGAATTAAACAAATGCATACGTTAAACATCTAGATGGTATTTAAAAACAAATGGAGTCCTCTGAAATAAGGAGAGAGCTGGACATGTATGTAAAAGGTAATCTTGTATTACTTAAAATGATATACATCAGAAATTAGTTTTTAATTTTTGAAAAATCACTTAAAATATTAACAACGTACTTTATTTGAAAGTTATAGAGAGTCTGGGAGAGACAGGTCTTCCATTTGATGGTTTATTCCCCAAATGGCCACAATGGCTGGGGCTGGGGCTGGGCCAGACCAAAGCCGGAGCCATGAACTCTATCTGGGTCTCTCACGTGGGTGCAGGGACCCAAGGACTAGGACTATCTGTTTTTGCTTTCCCAGGCACACTAGCAAGGAGCTGGACTAGAAATGGAGCAGCCGGGAATTGAAAAGGTACCCACATAAGATGCTGGTGTCACAGGCAGTGGCTCAACCCGTTACACCACAAAACGGCATTTTTTCTTTTTGTAAGATTTATTTTTGAGAGGTTAGAAAGAAAGGCTTGGGGGGTGGGGGATCAGTCTTCCATCTGCTGGTTCATTCCCTAAAAGACCGCAACTGCTGGGGCTGGGCCAATCTGAAGCTAAGAACCAGGAGATTCTTCCGGGTCTCCCACGTGGCTGCAGGGGCCCAGAGACTTAGGCCACCTTCCACTGCATTCCCAGGCTACAGCAGAGAGCTGGATCAGAAGTGGAGAATCTGGGACCTGCCATATGGGGTGCTGGCACTACAGGCAGAGGCTTAACCTACTACGTCATAGTGCTGGTCCCTCTTCCCCCAATTAAGCTTTCTTACATGAGAACAGACAGATGTATATTCCACATCTCTAATAAGTTCCTGGTATTCCACATTTTGCTATTGGATCATGCTATTTTTAACAAAAAATTTTTAATGAATTTCAATGAAGTTGTCTTTTTCCACCACGATAAACAAAAATGAAAGCATGAAGTTGCCTTACATCACCACTTCCAAAATTACTGACATTATCTACTTTCTTCTGCAATCCCCCAATCACTGTGTTGGTTACAATTTCCTGAAACTATCAAATTCATCTGGGTTAAGCTACTGCCAAGGATGCCGGCATCCCATATGAGTGCTGGGTCATATTCGGATCAGGCTCTTGCTAATGTGCCTAGGAAGGCAGCAGATTATGGCCCAAGTGCCTGGACCCCTGCCACCCATGAGGGAGATTTGGATGAAGCTCCTGGCTCCTGGTTTCAACCTGGCTGGATCTGGTTGTTGTGGCCATTTCGGGCGTGAGCCAGCAGATGGAAGATCTGTCTCTCCTCTCTTTGTAATTCTACCTTTCAGGTAAATAAATCTTTTTTTAAAAAAGTGAAGTTAAACCTGATATCCTGATCACCACACAGCAGAAAATGAAATATTCCCAATATCATAGAAGAAAATGAGAAAATATTAAATCCTCAACAACAATTTGAGAGCCAGAGAGAGCTCCCATCCACTAGTTCACTTCCTAAACCCGCGCAACTGAGGCTGGGCCAGGCAGGTCCCAGGAACCAGGGACTCAATCCAAGTCTTCCACATGTATGGCATGTGCCTCTCAGAATCTGCACTGGTGGGAAGCTGGAATGTGGAGCAGAAGCCAAGAATTGAGCCCAGACACTCTGATGTTGGATACCAGTGTCAACATTTTAACTAGGCCAAATGCCTGTACCTCCAAACTTTTTTTTAACAGAATTTTCATTAATCTATGTATTTGAGCATATCATTTTCATTCAGTCTCAGTAACAGAAGTTTATCTTGTTAAATTCTTTTTAATAATCCTGTAATATTTCTGATATGGCAGTATTTGGCAATGAGCAAATTTATCATTATGGGGTGAAATAACAAAAATGAACACTAAAATACTTCAAGTCATACTGGAGAGGAGAATGATTAGCAATCCTACAAATCAGGATTCCATTTTAAGGAAAAATTCCAGTTGAATCAAACTGAAACTAGCTATAAGGAAAAGCAAAGTAAAAGCAAAGTGTGAGGCTACTTCAAAAAGTTGGTGGAAAATGAAAGATAAGTTTAGGGGTGGGTGTTTAGCCTGGTAGTGGTTAGGATGCTGGTTGGTATGCCTGCATCCCATGTTAGAGTGCCTGGGTTCAATGACCAGCTGTGGCTGATTCCAGCTTCCTGCTGGTGTAGACCCTGATAGGCAGTAGTGATGGCTCAAGTGGGTGGGTTCATGCTATCCATGTTGGAGACCAATGTTGAGTTCCTGGCTCCTGGCTTTGGCTTGGCCCAGTCCCAGCAGTTGTTGGCATTTGGGATTGGGGTGGGGAGTGGTGACCTAGCAGATAGGAGTTTATCAAATTTTTTAAATGTTTATTTAGGTGCAAAAAAAAGTTAAACCCACACATGTGGGAGTCTTTAAAAAGTGCAAGGAAAATGCAGATCATGAAATAACTATGCATGGATTTCAAAAACTTTTGCATGTACCAAAATAAACACTTTTTAATTCTATTTTCCACAATTTTTTTTTAATAGGAGGAGCTCCCATCCTCTGGTTCACTCCCCAGATGCCTGCAATAGCTAGGACTGAGCAAGGGTGAAGCTAGGAATCCAAGCCAGGTGTCATGTGAAGTGCTGGAACTCAGCTACTTAAGGCGTCATCACTGCCTCCCATGGTCTGCATGAGCAGGAAGCTGGAGCCAAGAGCCACAACTGGGCATCATATCCAAGTGTTCCAAAACAGGACACAGGTGTTTTGACTGGCATCTTAACTGCTAGGCTGAATGCCTGACACCCCCACCCCCGGCATGAATTTTTTTTAAAGATTTATTTATTTGAAAGTCAGAGTTACACAGAGGAGGAGAGGGAGAGGGAGAAGGGAGAGGGAGGGAGAGAGAGATGTCTTCATCTGATGGTTCACTCCCCAGATGGCCACAACAGCTGGAGCTATGCCAGGAGCCAGGAGCTTCTTCCGGGTCTCCCACGTGGGTGCAGAGGTCCAAGGACTCGGACCATCTTCTGCTTTCCCAGACCATAGCAGAGAGCTGGATTAGAAGTGGAGCACCCAGGTCTCGAACCTGCGCCCATATGGGATGCCGGTGCTGCAGACCACGGTGTTAACCCGCTGAGCCACAGTGCCAGCCCCTAAAAAGCACTTTTAGACAGTGAATTTTTTTTTTTTTTTGGAGTTATAGACAGTGAGAAAGATCTTCCTTCCATTGGCTTACCCCCTAAATGGCCACTATGGCCAGAACTATGCCGAACTGAAGCCAGGAGCCCGGTGCTTCCTCCCAGTCTCCCATGTAGGTGTGGGAGTCCAAGTACTTGGGCCATCCTCCACTTCCTTCCCGGGCCACAGCAGAGAGCTGGACTGGAAGAGGAGCAGCTGGGACTAGAACTGGCACCCATATGGGATGCTGGCACAGCAGGTGGAGGATTAACCAAGTGAGCCATGGCGCCAGGCCTCTACCCCCATGAACTTTTTGAAACTCCTTTTGTATGTTTAAAACTTGGAAAACATTTTAACTTTGTTATGGTTACTAATTGATTTATTCTAGGCAAACACTAGTACCTTAAAAAAGTAACTGGCTTTGGGCAACAGAATATGTCCAAAAATCTGTTTGCTAACTGAAAACTCTGAACCATGTAGTCTGTCGACAGGGGTCACTGAAAACTTTTCATGGGAACGATGATATTGCTTGTACTCAGAAATGCCAAAAATTGTATAGTTCCTTTAAAGGGTAAGAACATACATTGACAAGGTCAGTTGGAATATGAGAGCAGGTAATGGCAACAAAATTTTTTTTTTTTTGGACAGGCAGAGTTAAACAGTGAGAGAAACAGATCTTCCTTCTGTTGGTTCACCCCTCAAATGGCTGCTACAACCAGTGCGCTGTGCCGATCCTAAGCCGGGAGCCAGGTGCTTCCTCCTGGTCTCTCATGCGGATGCAGGGCCCAAGCACTTTGGACACCCTCCACTGCACTCCCTGGCCACAGCAGAGAGCTGGACTGGAAGAGGGGCAACTGGGACAGAATCCGGCACCCTGACCGGGACTAGAACCCGGTGTGCCGGTGCCGCAGGCGGAGGATTAGTCTATTGAGCTGCGGCGCCGGCCGCAACAAAATTTTCTAAGCTGAATGATGGTAATTGTTAGTAAATCCCAAAATGCTAAGTTCAAAATGAATATTTTGGTAAATTGAGAAGCAAAATTCACTTTCAAATCTCCAGAAGGGTCCAGACTAGTAGAATCAAGTATCTCTAGAACCAGGTAAGGGCAAAGATGGTGCAAAATAAAATTGCATTAGACTTTTCAAAAATCAGTAAGGGGGCTGGCACTGTGGCATAGCAGGTAAAGCCGCTGCCTGCAGTGCTGACATCCCATATGGGCACCGGTTCAAGTGCTGGTTGCTCCACTTCTGATCCAGCTCTCTAAGGCCTGGAAAAGCAGCAGAAGATGGCCCAAGTCCTTGGACCCCTGTACCTGCATGGGAAGATCCAGAAGAAGCTCCTGGCTCCTGTGTTTGGATCGGCACAGGTCTGACCATTGCAGCCAACTAGGGAGTGAACCAGGAAGATCTCTCTCTCTCTGCCTCTCCCCCCTCTCTGTAACTCTTTCAAATAAATAAATAAATCTTAAAAAGAAATCGGTAAGATTCCCCCAGGAGGCACCGGAGCTGTGGTGTAACCTACCCACTAAATCCCATGTGGTGCCTGCTCCTGTTATTTGGGCCCCTGTCACCCCACGTGTGAACCAGGACAAAGCTCTTGGCTTTGGCCTGCTCCAGCACCAGCAGTTGTCACCATGTGGGGAGTGAACAGGTAGATGAAGATCAATCTCTGTCTCTCCCTCTCTCTGTAACTCCTTCAAATAATATAAAAAAATATTTCCTCCAGGAAAGGTCTCCTCTTCCTCCACTCTGCAGTGGCAGGTGACAGATCATGGCTAGAGACTGGAGAGAGTAAAACAGTGTCTCAGCTGGAAGAAAGCAAGCACAGTTGAGACTGATGAAACTATGCTCAAAATGGGGAATAAAGGAAGTTGACTTGCTAATTGTTTTGTGGCCCTCAGTTTTCCTCTTGGAATCAGTTCCTGCCTGGCAGCGAGCTTATACACTCCAGGTAGGAAAGTGGAAAAGCCATCTCAGGAAACATGATTGGCCCAAGGACAAAGGGTCATAAGAGATACCAGAGGTTCCCCAGTGGTCATGCTTCAGTGAGGCCTGTGCTCAGGACACCCAACCACATGCACACAGCTTTGAACAAGAAGCTAAGAACCACCAGACTTATAAGGAAATATTCTAAAAACAAGGACTGGGACTACAAAAAATAAAAACAAACCCTGGAAACTCAAAGGACTAAGCCTGAAGGAAGAAACTTCCAAAAAACTATTTCACTAACAATGTCAGAGAAACAACTCCATGAATGAAAACCAGAATGGGTGCCATAGAAAATAAGAGACCAAAAGAGCTCTCAAAATGATGGTAGCAAAAAAAAAAAAAAAAGAAGATATTGCGATCCAAAACTTAAGGGTTGAAAGAAAAGGTGAGGATTTCTCCCTGAACATAAAGCACAAAAGAGATAGCAAATAGACGAGAACACAAAAATGTCAAAGGGCCAGCCCAGGAGGTCCTTCACCAATATAAGGGGAATGTCAGAACCGCATTAATGGAGAAGAGCTAGAATGTAATATGTAAGCCTTCAGTCTCCCTGCACTGCAGTCCACAAGTCCAGGTCTAACAGGCCCCCAAGTGCAAACAATTGATGAAAAGAGATCCACTCTAAGATATTATCAACACTGGCAGAAACTTTGAGGGTTGGTTAGTGAGAAATACATTAAAAAAAAAAAACTAAGAATATAAACCAAAAAATTAATTCAGCCCTGGGAAATACAAAAGACCTACATAGCAAAAGAAGTCATAATACTCCATTGTTCAGCAGTAAATGCATCTTGTGCCATAATTATGTAAACACTGTATGAAAAAACCTGGAGGATGGACAGGTATGGCTGTGGGGAGAGCAAGGATTATTTAAAGCCAGACCCTCATTATCTGTGACCAACCACAGATCTACCTAAAAGTTTAAAAAAAAAAAATACAGCCATGTTATTTAAAGTTATGGAAGAAATACTCAACAGTTAAAGGCAGTTACTTAGGGGATAAGAATATATGGTTTATGGCCAAAGGACTGCTGTCATTTTGGTAACAAGCCATATATAACTAGTTGGTTCCTTAAGTATAATTTCAAGTATAACTCTTACTGTTAAAAAACAATTTTAAATCACTCAATCGTATAATTTACCAATGACAGTTCCCATTAGGGCTTGATGTACACTTGAGTATTTTAGAACCTGGAGAGTGAGGCTAAGGGAGGACAAGGAGACCATGTCCTGTCCCATTTAAGATCTGCTACAGAAGGAAAACAAGCAGTTAACAATGTTTCCCATGTGGTTATCAGAAAATTGTGATTTGTAAGACACTACACTGAATCAATCACAATTCATGTTTCTATCAAAGCTTACCAAACTTTGAAATCAGAGAACTACATGTTACTCTCTAGGAAGCAGAAGTGTGGCTTACGGCTGTGACTGTACTCAAAGGGTAACCACGGAGGAATGAGGGACTGCCATAGCTACCATTTTCCACAAACAAGATGCCCACTGAAGGCCTGGGAGACTACTGAAGGACCCTCATATGCCCTGAAAATCAGAACTCAACGTGGGCTTATGTACTAACCTGCACGGTCTCCTTTTAGTGTGTCCCATACATTGCAATTAAAGTCATCATAACCCGCTAAGAGGAGTCGCCCACTTTTTGAGAAAGCCACAGAAGTGATTCCACAGATGATATTGTCATGAGAATACAATAATAACTCTTGATCTGCACGGAGGTCAAACAGCCGACAGGTGGCATCATCAGAGCCGGTGGCAAAGGCATATCCATTTGGGAAAAACTAGAAAGAAAACACAACACACATTTATCTTAGAGATGTATACAGAAATCATGGGAGGTGGTGCGACAGCAGATGCTGGTGTAAGACAGTCCTAGATTCAAATTCCAACTTAGCTACTTACCATGTTAGGCACTGAAGATACTTAAATAATTAGCTCCAGAATGTCGGTTAGGATTAAATGAAAAATAACATGCAAAGCACATAACCCATTGTTCAGCACACAGCAGGTATTCAATAAATACTGACTCTGGCCTTATCCAAAGTATGTGGATGTTTGGCACAGTGGTTTACGATGCCACTTAAAATGCTTGTATCCCATATCAAACTGCCTGAGTTCGAGTCCCAGCTTGGCTGTCGATTCCAGCTTCCTGCAGATATGTACCCTGGGAGGCAGCAGGGGGACAGCTCAAGTGGTCGAGTCCTTCCTACCCCTGTGGGAAACCCAGATTGCATTCCTGGCACTTGGGCTTCAGCCTGGCTCGGCCCTGGTTGTAGACACTTGGAAAGTGAATCAGTGGATGGGAGAACTCTAGGTCTCTGTTTCTCCCCTCTCTATAACTCTGCCTTTTAAATATATAAATATTTTTTAAAAGATTTATTTATTTACTTTAAAGTCAGAGTCACACACAGAGAGAAGGAGAGGCAGAGAGAGAGAGAGGTCTTCCACCCACTGGTTTATTCCCCAACTGGCTGCAACAGCTGGAGCTGCACTGATCTGAAGCCAGGAGTTAGGAGCTTCTTCTGGGTCTCCCACATGGGTGCAGGGGCCGAAGGACTTGGGCCACCTTCCACTGCTTTCCCAGGCCATAGCAGAGAGCTGGATCAGAAGTGGAGTAGCTGGGACTCGAACCAGCACCCATATGGGATGGCGGTACTGGAGGCGGCAGTTTACCCGCTTTGCCACAGTGCCAGTCCCATCAAATAAATAAATCTTTAAAAAAATTACTATTTATAAAGTATGTGCATGTTTGTATATATTCTTAAACAAATATCCCAGTATCTCATGAGAAATAAACATGAGAGGGAATATAAAACATTCCAATTATAATAAGTAATAAAGAAAACTATGCATGACTAATAGGTCAATGCCATTTTTCAGATACTGGCTCTACTAAACAATCATACTTTTTCACACATCTGCTGGCCATCTGTACTGGGAATCAATGAATGACCTTTGCATCTATCCCACTGTGCTGCTGGTCCTTAATTTCTTGATTTGTAGGAATAAAGTGAATATAATTTGTTACAGCTTATCATTTATCTTCTAATAGTTTTTAAAAATGTGTAACAGTTTCAACTTTGTGAAGTCAAGTTTATCCTTCATATTGAAATTTCATTGCTTTTATGAATAAAGTCTTTCCTCATGCTACTGACTGATAAATGTTTGGTGATTTTTTTCTAGTTTCTCTTAATAATTTCATTTCTTATACCTTAATTTTTGATCCATCTGGAATGTATAAATGTCATTGTGTAAGGATCTAAATTTCTTAATTAAGCAATTGTTCTAGCTGTTAAAAATAATTTTTATACTTTTTTTTTTTGCTGTATCTATCATTCACTAAATCTCAAAAAAAATTATTTACTCATTTACTTGTCAGGGGGCTGGTGATGTGGTGTAATGGGCTAAGCTTCAGCCTGCAGTGCCAGCATCCCATGTGAACTCCAGTTTGTGTACCAGCTGCTCCTCTTCCAATCTGGCTCTCTGCTATGGCCTGGGAAAGCAAAAGAAGATGGCCCAAGTGCTTGGGCCCCTGCACCTGCGTGAAAGACCTGGAAGAAGCTCCTGGCTTCAGATGGGCCCAACTCCAGCCACTGCAGCCATTTGGGGAGTAAGCCTATGGAAGACCTCTGTCTCTCCCTCTTTCTCTGAAACTCTTTCAAATAAATACATTTTTAAAAGGCAGAAAGATAAGAAATCACCTATTTACTGGTTCACTCCCCAAGTGCCCTGGCTGGGCCAGGCTGAAACCAGGAGCCATGAATTCAGTCCAAGTCCTTTGAAGATGGGGCAGCAGGACTCAAGCACTTGAGCCTTCACCTGCTGCCTGCCAGGGTACATATGAGCAGGAAGCTTCAAGTGGGAGTGGAGCAGTGACCTGAACTCGGGCCCTCCCACGCAGCTGAGGGCACTCAAGTGGTGTCCTAACTGCCAGGCTAAACGCCTGCCCCTCATTCACTAAGTTCTTACATACAAAATCGCATTAATTTGTTTCTCAAAATAGTTTCTAAAAAATTATAATAGTAAACTTCTATAAACTGGCATGGCAAAACAGTCTTGTAATTCTGCTTCTACAGTCATTTGATCAAGTTAGTTGAGGGACAAATAGTTGATTCAAAATATGAAGTTTTCCATTCAGGAACACAGAATGTATTTCCAGTTATTAAATAAAAATGATTTTCAATTAAGTTTGCTATTCCCTGCATACAGGTATATATATATATTTCTTGGTAAAATTTACTTTGTCCCTTTTTAAATTCTTTTAACTCTCAACAGGAATTTTTTTCTATTTTTTAGCAGGTTGTCATTAGTATAGGAAAGTGATTGATTTTTTAAAAAGATTTTATTTATTTGAGAGGTAGAGTTACAGACACAGAGAGGGAAAGACAGAGAGAGATGTCTTTTTTTTTTTCTAAGATTTATTTACTTATTTGAAGGTCAGAGTTACACAGAAATAGGAGAGGCAGAGAGAGAGAGAGGTCTTCCTTCCACTGGTTCACTCCCCAAATGGCTGCAATGGCCAAAGATGGGCCGATCTGAAGCCAAGAGCCAGGAGCTTCTTTCAGGTCTCCCGTGTGAATGCAGGGGCCCCAGCACTTGGGCCATCTTCCTCTGCTTTCCCAGGACATTAGCAGGGAGATGGATCAGAAGTTGAGCAACCAGGACTTAAACCTGTGTCCATATGGGATGCCGGCACCACAGGCGGAGGCTTAACCTACTATGCCACAGCACCAGCCCCAAGTGATTGATTCTTAAATAGTTTTTGTAACCAGAAAATACTCTGAACTTTTCTGGGAATTTCTAGGCATCTAACGTATCACCTGTAAATATTTTTATACTTTCAAATGCATTCTTATTTCAGTTTTGTACCTAACATACATTGCCTATAAGTTTCAGAACAATCTAAATAATGGTGATCTTGAAATTACTGTCCTGCTACTTACTATGAGATGCCTCCATTGTGTTTCTCGAAAGTCCCATAGTCAGGGTTCCAGTAGGGTGAGCAGTGTTAGCAGGTTCTCAGAAACGCAAATACTTTTAATGCTTTTAGGATGGCTAAAGCCTGGTCCCAGTGGAGATGGTTTTTCCACACCAAATATGAGGAAATTCTTTTCTTTTTCAAGTTCCCAAAAGGCTCAAGGAGGCTCTAGCCACAAATTCTTTCTTCTACCTACCAAGCCCTGAAGTATTCATCATTCCTGGCTACAATGAAGTTTAGAAGCCCTTCATAAAGTAAAAACCTTCACCACACCCTTACTACTTACACTCCAGTGTTTCTGACAATTGCCTTCCATTTTAACAATCATTGTTTCTTTGCAGGAAGTGTAACACTGTCATTTGCACCCATCTTAGCAAATACGGACTGAACCTATTCTCTACCACAGTGATGAAGCCTACAGTGAAGCCGCATAATCCAAAACACCCCCATTCAGATCACCCTTTCTTAAATTCTTCCAAATTCATTATCTTGATACCAAAACCAGATAACACAACAACAAAACAAAGCCACAGGCCAATATCCTTGATGAACAAGGATACGAAATCCTGGCAAATCCAACAGTATATTAAAAAGATCACTCATTGGGGCTGGTGAGGTAGTGTAGCAGGTAATGCTGCTACCTGTGGCACTGGTATTCCATATGGGTGCTGGTTCAAGTACCAGCTGATCAACTTCTGATCCAGCTCCCTGCTAATGGCCTGGGAAAACATCAGAGGATGGCCCAAATGCTTGGGTCCCTGCACCCATGTGGGAGACCCAGAAGAAGCTCCTGGCTTCAGATGGATCCAGCTCCAGCCATTTAGAGAGTGATAGAAGCAGATAGAAGATCTCTAACTCTGCTTTCAGATAAATAAATAAATATTTTAAAAAATCAAATCACTCGCCATGATCATCCCAGGGATGCAGGGATGGTTCAACAGACACAAATAAACATGATCTACTACATCAACAGAATGAAAGACAAAAACCGCATAATCATCAACAGATGCAGAAATGGCACTTGAAAAAATTCAGCATCTCTTTGTGATAGAAACCCTGGCCAAATCAGGTACAAAAGGAACATATCTCACTATATTAAAGGGCATATATAACAAGCCAACAGCTAACATCATACTGAGTAGGGAAATACTGAAGACTTTCTAAGATCCGAAACAAGACAATGATGCCTACAATCATTCTCATTAAACTCAGTTCTAGAGGTCCTATCTAGAGCAATTAGGCAAGAAAAGGAAATAAAAGACATTCAAATTGGATAGGAAGAAGTCATATTGTCACTGTTTCAGATGACATGACTTTATATATATTTTTATATATTTATATATTTATAATATATAAATATTTTATAATAAAGACTCTGCCAAAAAGCTATTAGAATAATTCAGCAAAGTTGCATGATACAAAATTAAAGTGCAAAAATCAACAGTGTTATATACCAATAGTGAATCATCTGAAAAACAAATCAAGAAAGCAGTCCTATTTCCAATATCTACAAAAAAAAAAAAAAAAAAGAAAAAAAAAAAAGAAACAAAAGTCCTGGGAATAAATTTAACCAAAGAAGTGAAAAAATCTCGGGGCCGGCGCTGTGGCGTAGCAGGTAAAGCTGCCGCCTGCAGTGCCAGCATCACATATGGGCGCCAGTTCTCGTCCTAGCTGCTCCACTTCTGATCCAGCTCTCTGCTGTGGCCTGGAAGGGCAGTAGAAGATGGCCCAAGTCCTTGGACCCCTGCATCCATGTGGGAGACCCAGAAGAAGCTCCTGGCTCCTGGCCTAGGATCGGCGCAG